AAACAGAGACAGAGAGACGTAGAGAAAGAGGTGTTTTTGAAGCAGGCGCTCTTGTAGCGACGCATCTCGGAATGATCAGGGACTCAGGGTCAAAACAACTGGGGGACCCCATGGAGCGGGACTGCTTGCACAACAGGGCGATCAAATGTGATTAACGGGAAAATTTGGTGTGCCTACTTTGATGACAGTGGACTACTGTCTTTGAGACAGTAATAGCTTAGATGAAACTATCACGACATAAGCTATGAATTCATAGCTCTCTCACGGTCCAACAGCAAACTAGCTAGCCCTAGCACATCTACCAGTATCAAAGCAGGAAGGAAGTCAGAAGGTAGTGAAGACTGCTTCTTGCTTGATTTGAGTAGCTGCCTGGTTCAAGTGAGACATTGACGAGCGGTGCGACACCTTGAATGGAACTGAAAAGTTGAGAATATTCAAACTTTTATGTGCATCTAAAAATCACTAGAAAAATGCGGCCATGTCCATGTGACTGTCCTTGCAGAAAGTATAACCGAGGCTTTAGACTACATGTGTGAATTGATGATCAACTTCATAGTATGATATACATTTTCCATAGGTGGGCAAAATACAGTTTAATGTACCTTATTGCAAGCAAACAATGACTGCTAATGTTGCCTAAACATAAACCATGAGCTGTCCGCTCCAGAATGGTTAATGATTCAGTTTAAATTAATGAAAACAACTTACCCAAAATCTCAAGAACCACACTAATTTGCCTCCAGGCCTGCCGTTTTCTGTTCTGATCATGGGATGGTCAAATAGCTCCGGGTAATCCATCTAAAATTATCACATAATTTTTCCAACTCAAGGCATTCAGGGCGCTCCTGCAAAACCAACATGGAACGGAAAAACATGAAGTGCTCAGCCACGCAAAAGCAGCGTGCAAACGTCTTCACTCTCATTGAAAACAACTACAGAAAGCTGCACCAGGTTGCTAAAACGTCTGATCGGGGCCTAAATCCTTAATGTAAGCGTTAAAATAACATAATAGTTTCTAGTTGTCACACATGCATCGCAGCGCTTTCCAAACTCACCAGGTTATAGCAACTATGAGATGGCAAATTGCATCTGACTTTCTATTTGTAATTATTGTGATGTTGAGAGGGCACGGGGGCATTTTATTTTCTGTCTGATGATTGAATTCTTGCCACTCCTGTGCTGAGTTGTATTTTGGTGCGTGACCACGGGCTTTGTGGTTTTCCAAGCCTCATGGGACCAATTCCCATTATTTACTTGACTGTGACCCTGTATCGTGACCCCTCAAGTCTCTCATTCTCCAGAAGCCTACTTTTATATTGCCCATCTAATGGCAACCTGCATTTTTACTGAACTGTAATGAATGCTCCAATTACGCTGAAGGTGATGGAGGTGATTTTCCTATGATAGAAGGGGTGATTGGATCTCCCACACTTCATTTCACTATCTCTCTGCTCTTCAGGCATTCCCACAGACCTGTGGTCAGCACTAGCTGTTGGGGAGGAAACTAAGCCTCTACTCGTGGTAATGCACCCTCTCAGTGCACTGCCAAGCCGTACACCAATGAGGTGACTGCAAAATTAAGTGCTTGAAATAAATGAATTCATTCTGGCAGAAATGTGTCAAATGACCTTTCCGCTGCTCATTACACATGGTGCACATTACACCAGAGAAATGCTCCTGTTGTCTGGGATCCTTTGTTTCCCCCCTCCCCTCTGCCTTGTCAAAGGGGAATGGTCATTAATTGAAATCATTTCCATGTGTAAGGTTGTGTAGATCCCTCCTCAAGGTGTGTCAATGGGTCGATAGATATTTGGAGTGTAGAGCAGAGTCAGGTGATAAGAACTCCAGTCATACTGTGCTAAATGACTGCCAAAGCGCCATAAAACCAATTCAAGGACAGAGGAGTTTGTCCCAGCGGACTATGTTCTGACAGCAGTGACAATGGTCACTATCCACAGGAATTGAAATGTTTTGGATCGCCTCATTGCTGGGCACATTTTTTCATTTCCCACTCTTTTTTCCCTCTGATTAAAAGGTTATTTGTGAGAACTGAACAGTCTCTCTTTCGAGGTGGTATCCTCCTGCTCGACTGAATGCAGGGCATTTCACCCAGCTCTGTGCACAAGAGAGGAGAGCTTATCCTAATGCAGAGGCTGCCTGTCTGGCTGCCAAGGAGAGATGTAGCTTTAAGAGGCCCATACATGGTGTTGATTAGTTTTACTGAGCGGGTATGCAGAGACCAATAAATTAAATATGAATAAATTAAAAATGTACTCTAGCAGAAAATTGCTTGGAAAACAACCACCTCCCCATTAAAATATGTATAGTAATGCCTTTTATGTGAAGTAACTTGGGATTAGATATCACTGTAAATTAACACGCCACCCAACCGTAGTCAAGAACTTTTCACTTTTAACAAGGACTTATAAAAGAGGTATTTACTCCAATGTGTTCAGTAATTAATTTGATATTCAAATGAGCTTACGGTATACATTATAATTGCAAATATCCCAAATAAGAGTAGTTAAAAAGGGGTAGTGTCAACAAAGATTGATGAGGCTTGCTTTGAAATTGCCATCTGTTTCAAGTGTTTATTTGATCCCCCCTTCTTCTGTGGAAATTGAGGCATCATGGTTTACCCCTGCCATTTGGCCATATGCATCCGTTTTATTTTAGTTTTTTTGGAGGGGTGGGCGCACTGTGGTGCTGCAGCATACATGAACACACAGACACACACCTCCACACACAATGTAAACATTGAAGGGGATCAGGAACATCAGCATGTGTGATGAGCTCCCACAGATAACGTCTCCGCAACATTTCCATGACATTGTAGCTGTGTTACCTCATTACCACAATGTCACAGCAGCAGTGAGGATGTGGCGTTTGGGGTGAGGATAGAGGGGGAGTACCATGGGGGTGGGGAGCTGCAGGTATCTGCAGATGAGCTGATTAATTAAAGGGATCTCTATTAAGGTTATTGAGATGAACCCCCCCTCCCCTCCACTGGCCGCCCCCATCCACGCTCCTCAGTGGTTAAAGGTGGATGGAGCAGAAGGGGGGCCGATGGAGGGGAAGCATCCTTGCCTCTTTTGACATTAGCCCACGTGCACCCACTTCACACGCCCCACGACTCTCGCCACAAGTGCCTCTCTGCACCCCACCTTTGCGGGAGTGACACTCTTCAGGCTCCAAAATGGGGCTGCAGAGTTTTAATCCCTCCAGCCCATCAACCCACCCACCCTTACTTCCATCTGTCAGGAGCACTGCTGGAGGAAAAGGGGGGAGGGTTTGGGGGGGTGGCGCATCCCTTGTTCCATCCCGACGAATTTTCTAATTTCCTTTGCCTCCATGCTTTGTCCCAAAATCACGCCCCTAACCTATCCACCATACAGCCTCTCTCGTTCTGTCCCCCCTCCCCTGCCACCTCTTTTCTCTGTTGTTTTGGCCAAAGGAGTAAAAGTACAAATGGAGGCTCCTGTTGGCTTGCAACAACACAAACTGACAGTATTTTAACAGCAACTGAACCTGCTGTCATCATAGATGAAAACATTCGTCCATATTTTCTTGCTGTATTTCAGTCTCTTTAAATTTGTTCCACTCTGAGTCATGAACAAGCGGTACCATCATTTGCGGTAGGTCATATTCTGCTTGCACAAACCAATTTGGAGATTTTTCTTCTTCTTTATTTTCCCCTATAATTAATCAAGTCTGGCACGAGACAATGAGGACCATATGCTGAAATCCCATCTCCACTTCCGAAAAAAAGTTGCCATACAGACGGTTGTCTAAAAGAGAAAAGACGTTTAACTAAGACAAATCATTGTTGTTTTACTTATCAAATGATCTACCAACAAAATCACATTTTGTGAATAAGACAGCACCCAAAAATAAGCATGTCATATTTTATTTAGTTTGAATGGACCATGAAGACATTACCATACAACATATTCATTAGTGACAAGTTACATGGACATCACAGTATTAACAGGCAGTATCTCATGCAATCAATTCTAATTACTCATCTTCATCCACAAAACTAGGTAGTACGCTTTAGGGATAGCACTCTCCTGTCAGATCAACTCCAGGAAATGAATTCAGACACTTACTACAGCTCCATCTGCTGTTTATACCAGTCTGAGTAAACCAAAAGGCAGACAGTATGTCAATAATGTTGAAGATTGTTGCAGTCTTTTGGCAAGCAGCTTGAATCAAAGATAATTCATATGTCATCTGTTCATTCTCATAGCCTGTTTTATTCAAAATAAATCGAACAAAAGACAGTGAAAAACTGTTTTGCATATCTACTCACTATGTTAATAACTATCACCCGAGATCAGTTTGTCTACCTGGAATGAATTTGGTAACTAACAAACTGTGTCCACACCTTTAAGACAATTACCTGCAATGTAGAAATATATTTTGAAAGCAGTTTGAACAAATGCACACTACATTGACACACGAAAGCACAGAGCCTGTGCATAAGCACAGAAGCCCCATTGTTGGCACTCATTCACTTCAAGATGCAAATGGGTGGATTTGAAATTCAGCCTCTGTGTGTTATGCTTGACTACTTTAATGTTGTATCTATGCGGGGATTATTCTCTCTACAGTGGAAAAACCTGTGCTTGAATGGCAGTGCCCTCAAAGTAGCTCCTACTACTTTCAATGGCCTCCAAACGAGATTAGACCCGTGGCTGCTCTCAGTCCCAATCCTCTGCATTCAGATGGAGCGTAACCAGCCTGTGTGACGGTTTTTCTGTTTTGACACTGAGTGGATGCAGTCACTGCATTTTGGGCGTTTTGGAATTGAGAGGTCACTTTGGCGTTGAAATGATATCCAATAAAATGTCCTGTGCTCTTTATGAGTATTCTCTGCAATTTAACATTAAATTAGGAAACAATAAGAAATATGTCGTCAAGTTATTGAAAGTAAAATATGTAAAAGGAAAAAAAAGTTGTGATATTTGGCACATTTTAAGTATGTGTGTATATATATATATATATATATATACACACACACACACACACACACACACACACACACACACATACATAAAGTGATGTAATCACACATTTCTGACAAATGCAAATTTTGTGGGAATCAATTTGTCCATTTTCTTTTTACAAAAATGTCTGTTTAGATGTTGAAAATATTAGACCAGATTATTAAATGCCGCACCTCTAGCTAATAGTTTGTTTTTCCCAGTGTAATAAATGAACATTCCCTTTCAAAATAAGAGATTTTATCATTTCTATATGGAAAAGACAAACATTAACAGTGTATATAATAAAGAGATATCATGCTGAATGACTAGATGTGCTGCGAGGTAGTAAGTCAAATAACTACTAAATAACTGGCTTTGATAAGGAATTAGCTGTGCTGTGCTCAAATCTCCCGGGTAACTCTTTACTTGACTAACTCTAGGACGCTGCTTTATAATAAAGGCCTTCAATCAGATTCTACAAGTCATGACAAACTCACTCAATCTGAATGCCGGCCACTACAAAACAATGATGAGTCTGTATTTGGACTGGATGACATACAGTTAGTTGGCTGTGCAACAGTAAGCATTTGTCCAGCAGTTTGGCCCAATCTGGGTAACACCTCAGACCTGGGCCCTTCTCTTTGGCACAAGGCCCTGCTGAGGCTGGACCCTCAGCTGCATTGGTCTTGGACTTCTTGTACTATTTTCACACCTGCATACGAGGCCCATTTTGACACTGCTGTCACTGCTTAGTCTCTGGTCACCCCCAAAAAGGTTGCACTAATCACGGCAGTTTCATTCACATCACTGCTAAATCACAGAAGTACATTAAATAAGCTGAATTATATTAAATAAAGTGTATATCAAGTTCCCATTGAAGTCCAGTTTTTTCTCTTGTACGTTCACTTCCTTTGTCCAAGCAAAAGAAGGTGAACATACAAAAGGGAAAAACTTGTGTGCACACTTTGTTTTCTCACTAGTGTTCTCTCTCTCTCTCGTTCTCTCTCACTGTCCAATACCTGAAGGGGTATTGGTCTTAGAGTTTGCGGGAGGCAGTCCTACTTTTAGTGGAGGTAGAAGGTCTCTGGTTGGCCACCTTACTGAGTTCAGAGGCTGGTTTCTGTCCCTTCCTGTCCTGAGGCCTGTGCTGCTTTGCACTCAGCTGTGTGGTGGGTTTTACCCCAGCATGAGACTGCAGGGATAAGATTCATATTCTTCTTTCATTACAGAATTAACTATCACATCCATTTTAAAACAGCTGCATCGAAACACCTTCATTACCATCTTCTGTAATAGGTCAATCTGGCACCATCTAGTGGTCATTGAATATGAAAAGCAGTTTGCATGGCAATAAGAAAGCACAAAGGCAGTTCAATTAGAAAGCCTGTCTTTAAAATTACAAAGAATTTAAATTTAGATCAAAACCTGTAAAATTAAAGCCACCACTCTCTTTAGTCTTATTCCAAGAAACAAGGGATTATCTGGATTCTATGACCATTTATATAGGCGCTAAGGGCTGACCTGCAGAGTGGTAGTTTATTTTTTAAATAATTCTGTTTTAATGTGTTTAGTTTCAAACCTCTTTAACAATATGAGACTCCCAATCCTAATTGCCACTTCAATATTGACATGAAAGACATCTACAAATCAAAAACGGATAAAAGCAGTAACTTTCTTTAAAAAGATTTTTATGAATAACGAGCAAAAACGTCAACAGCTTTGTTAAAAAAAAAAGAAAAAAAGGTTTTGCTGCAAGTGCTAAATTATCTACTTAACAGGAAAGTCTTAATTAAAAACAGGATAATTACCACGAGGTAAGTGATGTGTAAGCAGAAGTAACAGTACTTAAATAGATAAGTACAGACTTGACATCTTTGAAATATTTGGGAGATGTATTAAGTTAGAGTCATGAATACAAAAACATGCAAAGGCAGCGGAGGTCAAAATGTTGAGCTGTGCAAAACAGACATACCGGTTTGGTGGATGTGGAGGGTGTGCAGAAGCTGCTGTCTTCCTCAGCGTGGCTCCAGCATTTGCCGTCTGTTTCTGTTGAAGCACCCCTGGGGAGCGAGGATGGGTCCAGTGTGCCCTCAGAAGAGGTGAGGGACAAGTCCTCCAGAGTCTGTGTTGCTACTGTGGACGATTTTAAATAACATCAACATCAAGTAACCTCACGTGTCTTTTGTTCCTCTTTCTCCTCCGTCCTTCCACTGCTTCTCTGTTCCTCAGTACGATAATCAAATTCCTCATGTTTACATATTACAACCAGTAACTGGTACGTAGACATTCACTAATTTGACCTTTTTTGTTAACTTTGACATATCCAATGGTACTGGGTATTGCACAGCCATCCCTGTTTTTTTCTGATTGGTTGGTCGTTATCTGTTAAAGTTATATATCAGGACACACTATTGTAGCAGTTCAGCAGGTCCCAGAGTAAACAACAGCAACAATACAAACACTTCATGCTACGTTACCAGTTAAATGTCAGTTAAACAGACCACAAACAAACAAATAACAATAACTTAATATAAATGAAAACTGCTTTGCCTCCACTTCGTCCTTTGTATCCATAACCAGAATATCTTGTTGTATATTATTGCTGGCACAATAATGACTATTCAAGTTACCATGACCTGGATTTAGTTATTTGAAATAAGGTAAATCTTAATCATTGTCTTACTCTCTTTCTGTTCCTGGTGGTTGCGCATCATCTCCAGTGCATTGGACGGCATAGCAGGCACATTAGTGTCACCCTGTTGGACAAAGCACCCCATAAGAGCTTCTCGTGTGACTCATTTGGTGGATTTTATGAAAGCAGCTGGAACAATCATTGCCTTACTGTAATCCAGGGGTTTTCGAATAGCTGATCAGCGGACATGCGGTAGGCAGGGTCCGCCTTCAGAAGGCAAGTCAATATATTTTTTGCTGATGAGACAGACTCAAGCCAATCGGTGAGCTTGTCAGTAACAATCTGAACAGTAAAACTGCATTGCAACATCCTGTACTACATGTCAATGAAGCAATGAATTCCTTCACTTGATATCACAAACAATTTATCCTTTTTTGCAGGATTACACTTAGAATTAATGTATTATTAAGTGTCACCTGCATCACTGACTGTGGCCCAGATGGGCTGAGTAAATTGGACTTCTTTGCTCATAATCTTCTTAAGTAGGTCTTCTTTTGTTTTGCTCACAAACGGAGGCACCCCACACAGCCTACAGGGACACACAGCTCAGACACATGTATTCACAGTATGTAGGCATGTATGTATGTGTGTACATGTACATATAGTATATGTGTGTCTACTTACAAAATGTACATAACGACTCCTATGCTCCACACATCACACCAGTGGGTGTAACAACGACCACTCATCACTTCGGGTGCTGAAATTCACATGCACACACAAATGTTTTCCTTTTGTTTTGTCTTAGAAATGCAAATGAGGGAGCTTAAAACTACAAGTTAAAATAGTTTGTGACCACTATTTTTGACATATTATTAGTACCATGTTTATCAGTACACCAACAAGGACACCCTCGCACATCACAAGCAAAGGATGTGATGGGGAAGTAATGCCTATCCGTAGCTGGTGGCAGTAAAAAGTAGCAATGCAAAGTAAAAATGTTTAGAGTCTGTGTTTTTAGAACCAACACATTGAGTGTATCCTTAAGGCCAAACCGTGTGTAATGCTTTTCCATAGTAAAACATTCACAAAGCCAATTTCTTTTTTAAACTTTGACACCTGCATTGCTTATAACCATGTTAATCGCCTAGCAGTCTTCTGTACCAGACATGACAGCGACGCTTTCTAACGCAACGGGTATCATGTCAGACAATGTAGCTCCACTTCAGTCACTGTAAACTTGTGGTTAACGTTGTGAATTTAAACAAAAACACTTGGATTAATGCAACATAACCTCCGCTTGGTTTAGGAAAAGATTGTGGTTCGGGTTAAAATGACTACGTTTGTAAAGTGAAACTCAACATTGTGATCACAAAGACACCATCACATTGTTGGTTTCACACAGGACACGAACAGCAGTCTCCTGGGTGAAAGTCTCGTGTTTGTGTCCAATTCATGCTATTCATAGAGGCACATTGTGAATTTTTTTGGCATTTTCCACACCACCAGTTGTCTGTGAGTGGAATAGCATTACATTACAGTCATTTAGCTTTTATCCAAAGCGACTTACAATTCAGTGTCTATCAATTAAGTGTCTTGCTCAAGGACACATTGACATGTGACTAGCGGAGCCGGGGATCGAACCGCCGATCCTCTGATTGAAGGACGGCCCTGCTCTCCACTTAAGCCACGGTCACCTCACTAGCATTAAACCGAGCGATGTCATATTGTAGCTTGCCTGCACTACACAATTGTAATACCACACTCTTCACTCGGCAGTAATGTGGGCTTGCTTGTAGAGCACAAGATGTAAACAAAACAGGGACCCCTGCTCATAAAAAAAACATTGCTCCATAGCACCACTATTGGTAAAAGAAGCTTAGCAGAGTACCTTTACATATAGATATATATACCTATGCATTCTACATGCAAAAATAGAATTACACTCACTTCTTACAAACTTACAAAACCACTTTGTATGGAATATAAACATTTTAAACTTTGGTAGAACCAAAAAGATAATATGGCAGATGGCAAAAATGCAACACCACTAATTCAAACTTAGAGCTCTATCCCTGTGTACTACTCGCATGTTGAAGGAGATATAGGTGTCATACCCATATAGATAAGAGTCCCACAGGCCTCCGTCATTATGTTTTCAATCCCTACACCACCTGTCTTCACCGATAATCCAAAGTCTGTCACCTAGGTAAAGAAAAGCACTTAAGAAAAAGGTGATACAAATAAACATGATTTAGATGTGCTGACAGAACTCATCGTCAATTATCTGTTAAAAGGTGCTTTTGTCAGGAAAACAAGGCTGCAGCTTGAGCATCCTTGATGATTGACATGAATAGCAACATAGCTGTTAAGGCTCTACAGGACCACTCTTATACTATAAAGGGAGACCAGAAGGAGTCTGTCATAACGAGGTAGTGGGCGAAGAAACAGAGTCCATCAGAGGCTTATACTCAGTCTGACTGAGAATGGATAAGAAGGAGTAATGGAAAGCTTCACAGTTTGAGTCACCATCTTACCTTGATATTCATTCTGCCATTATCATCCTTATCAAGCTCATTCTTCACAAGAATGTTCTCAAGTTTCAAGTCCCGATGCACTATGTCTGTAAGATGGGAGGAGGAAAAGTTTTACAAAGACATAACGGGTTTGAATACCGTTTTAACATAGATATGTGTGACAGCTGTCGTTATCAATATTCATGTCAATATTCTTATAACAGCAAGGGATCAAAAGGGGGCTGCTCATAGTAAGTATCACACATCAGTTGTCACCGTGTTGCTGATTTTAATCAATTAAATACCAAAACGATTCAAAGGTATATCATCAATGACAACCATAGAAGAAAAAATAAATAAAGTCTGCGATCGGTGTGCAACATGATTTGCTAATGTCAGTCAGTAGAACAAACAATGTTTTGCACACACGGTCACAGTGATGGGTTTACCTTGCTTACAGTAGGCCAGGCTGAACGGCCTCGTTAACACAACTTGGTGGAGTGAGAGAAGGCAGGAGGAATAATACAATTTGCCCTGGGCAGTCCTTTTCACTGCACTGTTTGAAACCACCAATTATAAAACGCAACAGTGTTGATGGGGTGTGAAAGGTAAGTTAGACCAACTGGTGTTCACAAAACAAACACCTGAAACTGTTATCTTTCTTTCCCTTCATCCATTTAAGACATGTTTTGTTCAATGATACCTTTTTTTGACTGCTTGCTGACAGCTGAACTCTCAATTCCATATTCAGAAATGTCTGTATTTAGTAAAGTATATATACTGTAAACTTACAATGACCCATTCTAGAATACTCTACATCTGCATTTCCTTTGGTTATTTAATAAAACACTGTTTACCAACTATAACATCATTTTTGGTGTATTATAATTCAGTATTCTTCCCTCGCTCACTGAAATAAACAATTGGATTCGCAGTGTAGTTACATGTACATGCAAAATGGACCATGTTGTTGCCAGAATGTGTTAGCATTAAAGCTCCAAAAACTAACACCTGAATGTGACAAAGGACAGCAAAATTTGATAATCTGAGAAAACACAAGGGTTCTGCCTACCAAGTTCAAAACCAGCTCTTTCTCATTAGTATTATTAGTTTCCATAAAGGTGAGGGACACCAGCACAGAGGGACTTTCCATGTAAAAACACACTATTAATCAGTATGGCTCCCTGGCTTGTTGTAAATTAGTCATTAGACGGGTGTAACAATGCCTCGTTGCCAAGCAATGTCCTAAATTACAACTAACCACAGATTTTACGACAAGAAAATAATTATTATAACGCTTCCATAATGACTGAAAACCATAATAGCAAGGTGTTGGGATCTGGCAGGAGCGGGTTTGGTTATTAGCAAGGATGAAAATGTAATTATTGATATTATTAAAATGATTATTATCAATAGGATTATTATATTAATAATAACGGGGAACCACCCTGGGATGAGGGACCAATAACCCTCAGCTAGCGTTGAAGGATGATTTGTCTCTCAAAATGTTTATCTGTAGAAGGCCATTACCACTTTTGTGAAGGTAGCCAACAGCGTCGGCTAAGCTGCAGATGACAAGCCTGGTCTCGTCCTCTGTAAGGAACTTCTTCCGCTGCAACAGCTGCTTCAGATCCCCTCCAACGCAGAGGTCAACAACCAAATAAGTCATCTAGAAACAAGCAGAGAAAATGCATCTGAATAAATAATATTCATGCAGACACAGTAATAGATTATGATGTGTCATATCATATATGTCATGTCCTGCGTTACACGTAGCCCACTCTCTCAATTAGGCTTACTTTGAGTTTGTTACTTAAAAATGTTAGCATTGCTCACCTTAGCCGTGTGGTACACTTCCTGGAGATGTATTATATGAGCATGATTCATTTGTTTGAGAATGTTTATTTCCTGCTCCAGCATCTTGGCTTTCGAACTTCCTGCCTGAAGTGACAGAAAGTTAAATCATAACTGCAGGAGTTTCAGTCTGGTTGTGACCATTTGTTTCTCTCAAAACATTAAACTCTCTTATTAGTGCAACTTCCGTCACAGTAAAAAAAACAGGCCTCCCAGAGGGATGCCAAATGCACTCACCGCTGGTCTGGAAACCTCCTTAATAGCCCATTTAGTCTGTGTCTCAATATGGGTAGCTTCATAAACAACTCCAAAGCTACCTTGACCCAATTTCCTTCCAAATTCATAGATTTCCTGTGGGGATAAGGAAGAGAACATTAATACATTTGTAATACACACCTGCTCACTGTCAGACAGCAGAGGATTTGCCTTGTGTTTCAGACTTTAGGATCATTTCACTGTTTTGAATTACAAAAACATTATGTCTTAACTCAAGACCTGAATTCCAAAGTGCATCCTAATTTCAAGCTCTGTGAAAAAAAACGGAACATTTTCAGGTCTCTGGCAGTGCAGAATATAGTATTTCTAATCAAGTTACAAATGATTAAGTTGCTGCTGCAGTTCGTTCAATCGCAGGTCTAATTAACTTGATCATTATCTGTGTGCATGCAAGGCTGAGCACTGGCTGCTTTTGGATTTGGCGCAGGGAGCATTCAAATTCCCCAATGAAGAGGGGCCATACAGCAGCAAAGTGAAGTTTGATCCACTTCTGGGGCAGATAAGAGTGTACCATAGAGTTCACTAGTGAGTCTGTGTGACTTATTCAGTGGTGGCCCTCAGCACAACATGTGACTGCAGTGGAATGGTGTAAAGAAGCTCGCCATACCCTCAGGTCAGCATCATTCTCCAGGCGTATTAAAGGCACATTCCTCTCCAGTGTGTCCCTGCCGGTCTGAGTGGACACCATGTTAATGCCTAATCCGCTAACGAAAGACGTGTGTCATCTAGAGATGGAAGAAGAGGGCAGTCATTATCCCTCTGAAATGGCTTGTCAGGCCACAGTATGACAGGTTGTCCATAAAAAAAATAAAAATATGTTCAAATAATAACTGCATTTCTTTGATTAGCTATCCTAAAAGATATGTTCACAAATGCAGTCAGGGAGAGGGATTTCTTAAAATGTTGTGATTATTAAAGAACAAAACACTTTTGTGAATCTTGTGGTATGACTATCATTTTATATTCATTATTGATTAACAGTTATAATTAAAATCATTAAATCATAATTAACGGTATTGTTTTCAATGTGTCAGTATTATCTCAAAATGTATTACCGCCTACAAATATTCTTTAAAACAAGCAATCATCCCTGTTAGTTTTGAAAAAGAGTTAAGATGTTAACAACCTTAGATTGAAGCTTAGGTAACACTTTATAATAACTACACACTATGAAGCATTAGTTAAGTATGAGTAAACAATGAATTCATCATTTATAAAACATTGTTCCTACATTAACTCATTAGTATGCAATTCATAACAACAGTTATATATGTTTTATTCTTGATTAATAAGCTCGTCTGTTATGTGTTTCGTGATTGTGTTTTCATACTTTATAAATGATGGCTTCCCCATTTGTAAATGAAGTATTACATATATTACAAACCAATTATTAAGGAGTTGTAGATTATTATGCTTATTAATCAAGAATACAACATTTATAACTGTTGTGAATTGCACACTAATGAGTTAATGGAGGAACAATGTTTTATAAATGATGAATTCATTGTTTACTCATACTTAACTAATGCTTCATAGTGTGTAGTTATTATAAAGTGTTACTGAAGCTTATTTTACTAGTATTGAAGACATTGTTTAAAAAATAGCTCACGAAGTTAATTCAGGAAATCTACACTTGTGGACAGAATCACTGAATCTTTACTCGTCTCGTCTAACGTGTCATTTTTTTTTGGTTTATGACCAAACTTCTGTCTCAGTCCAGGCCCATATTAACTTTAAGCACAATTTACCCAGTCTCTAAAGCAACATTAAATGTAAAGCAATCATCAAGTGATGACTGGGAGCTATGAAGTGGATCCACCACATGCACAGCAATTAATTATTAACAAGGAAGCGGTGTCTTTAACCTCTTCACTCTGATGCATTATTTTAGCCCTGACAGGGCTCCCATAACAGGCCTGTCTCTCCCATTATCTAATGTCTATTTTCCAATCAAAACGGTTGTGACAGCCTCTGGAAATTCCAATCACCTCAATCACCGCTCATTTGTGGAAGACAGAGGCATGTGATGAGTGTATCACTGGGGACTTGAAGTGACTGGAGGAGGGTCCTCGCACCTCAGGTGTCTCCAGGACAGAGGTGTCTGGTCATTAGCCACAGTTAAAAGGTGCAAAGGAAATTGGATAGCAGGGTCAGGTCAGGGGGAGAAGTCTGATCTTAAAAAGGGTCAGTAACAGACACAGGTTTTGAATTGCTTTAAGCTTGGGGTTGTCTATCTGCAATTCATGGAGCTGTGTTTCTAACACCACAGATCAAACTGCAGGTCAAAACACAAAATATATTACCCTATGTTACTTGTGTCTGGTAACACTGCAGCTGGCACACAAACACAAACACTAACAGAAGACTTCGTGGGCCGGAGGAAGACAACTAACCCAGACAAGATCAGACTTGGAGTCCAAACGCACCTGTAAATTATTGCATTTGAACCCTGATCAATACTGATATACAGAGGTACATTTGCTACTACTGTCAAGTTAAAAAAAAATCTTGGAAATTGTCAATGTAACTGAGAAAATCTACCAGATATTTTTCCCCCACCATTAACGAACTTCACCAAGAGGGCAGACTGTAACAGACAGTTATGCCCTCAGCTATTCCTCCCAAATTCCACCACTCTCGGTGAAGCTGACCCAAACAACACTCACGAAATTGCTAATGTAGTGACAAGGACAAGATCCTTTCCCAGCTTGCAACTTGGCCAAGTGTGTTTGTTGCATGACCAAATTGCTGGAAATAAAATCTCAGTGGTTGGTAAGAATTGTGCCCCTTTGCTTCCTGTTCATCTAAAATGTCTTCCATTGAGCCCAAGTTATCGTACCTGGTACATCGGTAGTAATAATGTGAAATTTAAAAACATCCTTAGTCTAGACTGCTTATTTTCTTTTTTGTTCCCTTGATTAAGTTAAAGTATTCTGTGCATGGATCTTTTCTTCCCATCTCCCCATAGATGGAGGATCAACCCATGAATGAAAACTTAATTATTAACTATGTCAAGTAATGATTAAATAATAGAAGACAGCACAACTGAACAATGTCAAAACATAAAGGTCTTTTCTCTCACACACACACACACACACACACTCACACAGGAAACAAAGGCTGTGGTCCACCTTTTACGTTGAGTTTGCCTCATCTCCAGTTTCAACAGGAAGTAATTAGAGCCACCGGTTCATCACAAGTCAAGCCCATACTTGCCTCATCTCTCCATCATTCTGTCAGACAGCAATTTGTGTTTATTTACACTACTGAGTACCGAGTGAACAAATATACCTAGTGCCTAATGACTGGGAGAGTGGGGGATCAATGTCACTTTGGAACAAAGAGAGGACATACAATGGATGACTCTGATCGTGTGTAACCTTTCTTCCCTTAAACCTGCTTGTCTTTCATTAACTCAACGTAATATATGTATCACAAGTTGGGCGGGGTATCTGTGGGTAGCACAACACAAGTGATGCTGAAAATATTTGCCGATTCATCAATGAGTTAATTGACGTAAAATAAATCAATTTTTCCTGCCCTGTAGGTCAAAACATCTTGTTTCATGAGCGGCTTTTCCCATCTGCAATAAGGTCTCTGAACGCTGCCTCCTAACTTTGAATATATACACGTCTGCATCTTTGTGTCATGTGCTTAAATATCCACTTTGTTCTGCCTATCCAGTAATACCATAATTATCATTTATTGTGCGATATGTCTGTCAATTTATGACGTCTGTCTATGTGCAATGCTTCATATACCGAGGACTGTGTCTAGTTGCCACATTTATCACTTTTTTTCCTGATACTTTAGACACTAAATGGTTAATCAGGAAAAGATTCGACGCAATAATCAATGATGGAAATAATCATTATTTGCAGCCATTTATAAGTGCCATTTTCCAGAAGAATAACTGCAGCATATCAAAAGTCAGCAGTGATGTGTCCCCAGAAAGAAATGTGCTGCTGTGTCAAAACGGTTACCTCTTTTCAGTCTCAACCAGACCATCAAGATAATGCAAATTTCAATTATTGTACAGCGCCTTTGATTTCTTTAATGGAATAAATAGCAGAATAAATTAGGCTTAAGCAGCTTCTAATGATGGTGCCTCAGGCTGTAACAAGCAGCCTCTAAAATATAGCCTGAAAATCAAACAAAAACAGAATCTTACTTACTGCAATTAAAATGTACACTGCTATCCGTTTTGCTTGAGCCCAAATATTACATTTTCCTCATGTGAAACTTAATCATTTATTGACAGCTTGGCTTTGATGACAAATGATAAACTTCACAGTCCTAATGAAGCGTGGAATTACATTACCTGATGAGGCAAGAAATTGCATGTTTAGAATGCAAATATAGAGCCCATCTACTTCACTAAGTTATGAGGTGACTCATAATATTATGCAGAGAGATTATCAAGGCTTGTGGTCTAAATGTAATATACCGAGAACCTTTCAACCTTAAGCCATTAAAGCATACAACACTCACTAAAGAGCTGTGAACAAAACATAATAGACAGCTGATGGACAAAAAAAAAAAAAGAGGTTGTTTAAATTGCTATTCCTACACTCAGCAAACAAGTAAAGCATGCTGCTGCTCCCAGAATCCCCTCTGTCTCCAATGGTCATATTTGATAAGTCTATTGGAAAGAAAACATGCTTTTGCCAAAAGGAAGTAAAAGATCAATTTCTGCCATTTTGCTCAGAGCACTCCACATGTTGCTCGGAGATAAGGGCCAACAAATTCAAATTTTCTCATTGGTTTAATCCTGGTTAAAGCTAATCTGTGCCCTATGCTGGGCTCAGCCTTGGGAAGCTGTGAGGGCAGACATCTGTTAGAGAAAATGTAGGCCGTAGCAAAAAAAAAAAAAAAACAAGAACAAATTAATTTCAATGACAACCCGGAGAGAGAAGTTCATATCAAGAGTACACAGACCTTCGGTTATAAATCATTCATTGCCCAACGTTGACGCTCTTTACTGAAAATGTTGTTTAACCAGTTAGCTAGGACAAAAGATGCAGGACAACATCATCGTTATGACCAAATAATATTGAGGCTTTAACTCAATAAATCTAATTTAGTACTTTTTCAATCGGGGGTGACGTAACTATTAACGTAACTCGGTGTATACGTGCTTGAAGCATAAACGTAAGTTGAATACGTTAAGGATACTCTTCTTAATGCATATAATAGTGCAGTAAACTTGAAGTCTGGGTAATCAATTTAAGGAAACGATAAAGTAGCAGTAGCATCCCCCCCACCCCACCCCCAATGGCACACGTTGTCATGGCAACGAAACATGACGTTGCATGAGCTGACGGTGCAGAAACGTCTGAAGATGATACACATGTATACATTTACCATGGTGGTAATAGTGTGAGAGCTCACGTTAGAAGATTGAACAGACGCTCCTTACCTCTTGAAGTAGAGCATTTTCATTCAGCGGGTTGGTCTTCACCAACACACACAAACTTTTTCAGTGAGTGACTACGGGAAGCGAAGAGGGACAAAATTCCACTAATGAATGAACAGGGCATCTCTTAATTCAGGGGCTTGCAGCGCCCCTTGTGGCTCGAGTGTGTGTCGACCAACGTGAAGCCGACTTGGTGGTGGGAAGGACGCGAAAGGTGCGCCCACGATTTTCACAGATTTACAACGTGCGCAGTAACCATGAATTCTGGGGAAGCAGTTTTCTGTGAGGTACTCTGGATTTTCTTTGGTCCGTAGTCACCATCTAGTGGACGAAACTGTAGTGTTTCGTGTGAGTTGTTCTTTACAATTCCTTTTGGAACAATTCAACCACAGTTGTCTGTTAGGATGGAGATAGCATTAGAGAGTCAAAACTCTGAAGTATTTTGCATTTTATCAACTGGGAAGATTACGAGATTATATCATAAATTACTTGAAAATGTATTCCTATGAGCAAGGCCACTATGGGAGCAAACGTAAAGAAATCCTTTCTGTTACTGTATGCTGTGAGATATTTTACCAAGACATAGATACTGCTGACTCTAGACATTAGCCTGTGCATTGCCATGTTGTGTGCTTCTGCACCTTGACCACCCAAATTATTATCTTATTGGGATACAAAAGCTTTCTTTGATGACCTTATCTACAATCATGGTCCAAGATCATTTTTTCTGCACTTCCAAGAAAATATAGACTCACATTTATTGTAACATCAGACCTACTGCACCGTTTATACCCACAATTGAAATGTCTTTGTAAACGATTCCTTATCCAAACTCAGAACGGCAGCTACATTTTATTTATTTAATGCTGCTTTAATGTTGTTGATTAACCTACTGAAAACTGTTTAACTGAGTTAGTTCAGCTCTGTTTAGGTTACAATTGAGCTGTTTACATGCAATTAAAAGAGATTAGTGGAAGGTGGGCTCTGTAAATCTTAACATTAAATCCTATTTGGGCTGCCTGAATTGTAATCTTTGCATGACATTTAACTGCACCCTAGAAAAGCATATTTTAATTAGGTCTACTAGACTAACGTCTGCTTTTCAGGAGGTCTGCTGGATGCAGCTTTCAGATTTTCTCTACATTAAGACACAAAGCATGTTGCATACTGTAATTCAGCTACCAACTGCAAAATGATGTATTTGTGAGACTGCTTCTGATGAAAGTTGTGAGACATAACCATAGCAAAAACAATGTTGCTTACTAGCAAAATTATCAATAGGTGCAGACCACCTGCCACCTATTTTATATCATCAAACAAAATCAGCAGAAAAATAAAATTTACCATAAAGTCAACGTTTTTTCTCAAACGCTGACTTTTGAGAAATTAAATTACAACAGAGATATTTTACATGCTGTGAAATCATTGACCTTTGACCCCCACCTACAGTGTCCACTGTTTGATTCAATAATTTGCTGGACTTCAAGTCCACTTCATTCAGGATGCCTCCCCTCCCCCTTACTGTACTGTATGTCTATGTTCCTCCCCCTTACTCTACTGTATGTCTATGTTCATTCATATATTGTAACATGCCTTGCTGTAAAATCAATTGCCCTGAGGGGACAAAGATAAAGTTGAAAGTTGAAATGATGCATCATTGGTCACTGGTATTTTGACATGCAAATGTAGAATATGTTTATATATTTGTTGAGCTAAAGAAAATGCCTGGAGTGTCCAGACAATACGTATGTTTAGTTACAGACATTATGACCGCTGATTTCCACCATTAGACAGACTTCCGCCTTTACCAGAGACGTTATTGATGAGTGTGTCTATGGGTTTGGAGCCACTGTATCGTCTGCGGTCTGCAAGGTGCTTAAGGTTCTCCATCACATGACAAATCAGTTTAGTAAAGAAGTTAGATTTCAAAGTAGCTCTCCTCTGAGAGCTTGGCACAGTCATCCTGAGCCAAGGATCGGCCCCTGGAAAGTATACTGTGTGCACTTGCCTTGACGAGACAGTGCGTCGTGTCAGCTATATTGTAGATATTGAATGATTGCTGTTGGTTTTCACTTAGTATCAGCTGGAGAACAACTCATGTCATGAAATGGTTTCTGCGAAGCACAGCTAATGTCATGCAGAAAAAGGCACAGATCTCCTTAACTGTTTTAAATTAAAGGGATTATTTACCCAGTTAATTAACTTGGAGGAGCTCTGAGGTTCCACTACTAGTATGAATACAAAACCAAAATGTCCTTAGCCCAGTGTGCTTGGGTTCATATTGATTCTGTTTGTCTACAAAGTCAAACTGTGCTTCATACAGAGAAACCTCTGCTCATCCCAGTACAGCGTGTTGGAATGCAGTCCTTTACTCGCAGCATACCGTGTTGATCCTCACCCCGATAGGTCCATACACATTCATGTCAGCAATGGGACTCATTAGCTCATCAAAGTAAATCCCTCAGCTCGGCTTCATTCCCAGCAGACTATACGGTCACTCACCCCTTACAACTCTCTTTGATCTGCGGCAGGATGCTTGTGGCGTGGAGGAAGGACAGTCGGTCAGTGATGTTGTGCACCACCACAAATCCATCTGGCCGGTTCACATGCTCTCACAGGATACACCTGCTGCTTCCACTCTGACACAGCAAAGGTGGATGCGGAGATCAAACGCAGCACATTTATTAACTGATCTGAATACAGAAGCCATGAAAAGATTTCATCATAAGATGCTTCTTCTTCAACCTACTGCAGAAAGCTGCGAAAAACCTGGTAAAACATTTGCTAAGATAAACAAGAAGGCTGCCAAAAGAGAGTAAATTAGCTACGCCGCAGTATGGCAACAGTGTCACTGAGATACTTTTATGTGAGACTCTGGAGTTTTGCAGCCAATAAAAGTAAAAACTTTGGTGGTAAAGAAAACCATGTGTGCCCCCAGTAAACCGATTCTGCTGTCACAATAGTTGCAACAAAAACCTTTAAAGGCTGAGTGATTACTACAGCTGCAGGCTACTATTATGAATACCTCGGTAACATTTGGTATATTTTGTATGGTACAGAAGACAATAACCACAATTCATCACCTAAACTAATATAACACATCCTTTTATGATTAAAACATGTTATTTTTGCCTGTGAACATGGATCAAATATAATCAAGTTGAACTGTCTGCCATCAATGGACATCCTTCATGGTATAATGAATCCGCAAAGAAACAAGTCAAAATATGTTTTCTATAATAAGTAGGATATGCTATTAATCAAGTCTTAACCAATGAACATTAATACAAGTGGAGAGTTAAACACATTGAATGCAAATGTGCAAAGCTTTCTTATGAGAGGCAATGATCACAGCATGATGCCAGTTTAGTCAAACTATGGGACAATTATTACTTTAATCACTGTGGTGCTTGATTACACATAGGGGGAAAACAAACCAATTCATTTAGAGCAGAAGTGAAGAGGTTCTAAACATAAAACCCCCTCTGCAAACTGTAATTCTATTACAATTATCCAGCCTGCAAGACAAACACTTTGTGATGGTAAAATGTGCACATCGCTGATTTCAAACACATATGACACAGACTGAAAACAAGGTTTTGTTGACTCACCTTAGATCGATGAACATAATTGGGAAACGCATGAGAGCAGTAAATGAAGTGCCTTTCTTTGATATAAAAAAAATAGTGGTTTCATGAATAAATCTACATACTGGCACTGGAGGGATTACTCCATAATGTTTAGTCAGGAATCTCACCGGAACAGCTGGGGAGAATCTGAGAGTAACAACGAAACAGATTTTAGAAATTTGGCATGTGTTTAAAAAGACTTGCAACAGTGTGCATGGATCCTAATGTTGCTCACCTCTATGCCAAAATGCAGATGAAAAAGTACATTTCATATATTGATATACTTTTAATAATACAACATATCTCAATAGGGTTGTGGAATATATCAAACATAGTATTTGTAATATATTGCTGAACATAACAAATAATGCAACTTTTCATAAAAGTATCATATTTGTCCATACATTATATATCTGAGTATAAAATGAATCTACAGTTTTGCATTATTTTATTTTATTGTCATTGCATTTTGTTAAATGTTTTTGAAGACAGCACAATACTCGCAAGCATTACAAAATATATTATGGAATCCTTCCCTGTATTGAATGATGTTGAATATATTACATTATATTTGTCAATATACAGCATGTCACTTTAAATTTCATAAATAGTTTTGCAATGACACTTTGTTGCTTAGGTAAAAGTAAAGACTAAAAACTAAAAGTCTTAACATTAGTTGAGTGCTTATTATTTTACAACATAACAATGCCCAGTAGATCCACACGAGATCACAGAAATTTCCTCTCAGCTAAAGGTTGGAAATCATCCCGTTAGCTTCAGCGCACACATTCATTTCAATGTCACTTCTTTCCAAGGAAATCTGAATGGCTTAGTTAAGTCAATACGATACATTTCCATCTATATGCTCTCAGTGTGGTGTTTGGGAGCTACATTACTCGACAAATATCATACTACCATTATCATCTGTCTTGGTTTAACATAATGTCAACGTGTAACATTACATTTATTTTATGAGACGTATATCAGATAAATGAAATAAACACACACTTATACAAAGTTATCACACTTCCACATTGTCTACATTTTACTCTCTACCATGCATAATTTACACACAAAAAGACTGTCTGCTGTGCTCACCTGTTTTACCAGCACTCGCTCCCAGCAGAGCCAACTTCATTTCATTCATGATGGTAAAAGTGGGAAATGAGCTGTTAATAAAAATCCCCCTCCTCTTCACTCTCTTCTCTACTCTCTCTGCACAGACGAGTGTTTGGAAGAGCTGCTTCACTACCACACGTCCCCCTGAGACAACTGAAAACATTCAGAGTCTCTGCCCCTTCTCAGCCAACAAGACAAGTTTTGCAAGCAGGGTGATGAAAAGGTCGACCAACACACAGATGATACAGACAGGTTTCAGGACATAGGTGTTGAGAATGACAAGCCACATTTTTCCTATGTGTTATTTTGCAAAACAGTATAGGTGTGTGTCACATGTGTCATGAGGAAAATTCAAAAGCATCACTTCTGTCTCCACTGCTTCATGGACTTTTTACAAAATATATCTAAATTGAGTCCGGTTTTCATTGTATGAACCTTTAATAAATAAATAAATAAAAAATAGATAATATTACAGGATAAGTCTTTCTAAACACAAGTGGCATCGGGGCTAAGTGTCCAGCAAAACACATTGATCAAACACGACTTTCCAAATGAATTTGAAGGTCCCCTCAAGAAAAAAAGTCACTCCAAAACAAAAATACACATAGTGCTTCACTGGTCAGCTCTGATTTTATCTCAATGCTTGTCTGTCTGCCCTTTTCTTTGATCATCAAAGGTCACAGAGGTATCTCATTATGATCCTGTAATGTTTTAGTAGTTTGCAGAATGAAAGGTCACAAACTTTACTCGAGAAATAACAAAGCAAGATGCCCGCTGACCAAAACAGTGTACATATTACACCTTTGACTTATTTTTGTATGTGTTCTTTCAAAGAGAAACACAGACAAATACATGAAGGAAAGTTTAGCAGCACAATATTTGAAAAGATGCCATTTTATCCCCCCTATCCCTAAATAAACAATTAACATTTTTACAGCAATTTACAACCGATGTCAAACTGCAAGTTGGACAGTTTCTGTACTGTACTCATATTTCAGTTTAACAACAATAAAGCTCCAATAAAGCTTTCCTTTCTCCAGACATCAATGTATCTAATAAGATACATCCCCCCTTCCATTGTGTGACTAAATCTAAAACAGACTGTCAGATACTGAAATCTGACAGAAAGGAATTTTGGGCCATTAAGAGCACTTATGAACTATTCCCCTTAAATTTGAGACATAGATATTGTTTTACAATGAAACATTTTCCACAAAACCTTTTTATATGTGATAGAGACAGGAGCAGCAGTGTATCCTAAGTAAAAAGCATCAGAGCCAGGCAGCGGCTTGACATCATGTCTACTCTGAAGACAGACTCCTGCGAGCTGCAGCTCTCTTTCTGTCATGTATTCGAGAAAAATCTAATTCAACTTCTTTAACTGGATGTTTAATCAAATCTATACAGTCGCACAAAATGGTTTGAACATTTTGAGCTGTATACAGACGTTTCTAAGGTTGAGAAATTCAGAGCAGACGGAAAACAAGGAGAGGCAAGTGTCAAAAAGATTGAAGATATAAGATATGGATTGCTGCTGGTGGCTTAGTAAACTCGCCAAAAGCATTTCTAATTTATTTTTTTTGCCCTGAGAGCAGTCTTCTAGGAGGGGCTACCCCCCCAGGCTGGTTGATTCCCCATCAAAGCTCTGCCACTCATGGCAGTTTGATAAATGGTTTTGGTCTGAGTTACAATCATTGTATCACTCTGATGGGAATGCCTACCTTGAAGGCCATACTTGGGACAAAAAGTCCGCCAACTCTCCTCCTCCCACCTCCAGCTCCCCCTCTTACTGCTATGACATCAGGCTGTGAAGGAAGTGCATTAAAACATCTGAGGTTTGTAACACACATGGAAACATGGAGCTACATGTGAATCCTCACTGGATAGTTACTTATATGGCTTTACAATCAAACAAATTGTTGTTAAAAAGCTTTGAATCTTCAATAGTGTACGACAGTCACAGTAATGTTAAAAGTTAGAGTAAAGCCTCTGTCTTTAATAATCAGTGTTAGACCACAGAAGATTCAGGATAACCAATTGCTGTTGTCATAATGGTTTCAGAAGCAATGAGCGTTTTGTTCAAGCTAAATAAAAAAAAACAAGTCAACTTAAACAAACTGCATTAACTAATCCTCAAACTGTAACATACATTTGTATAGACTTATTTGTGTAATTAACATGAAGATGTTAGCATTACTTCCTTACTTTCATTTTTACAGTGCGCTTGATTCATCTACCACCTGTTTTATAAGCTGTATCTGCTCATGTGCTCATCATCCTCTTAAAGCTGATCCTTGCATCTTATAGTGCTTTATCTAGAACAACTGCAGGGAAATTGATTTGTTAATTGTGTTACAATTCACTATACTTAATTTTAGTTACCAGCTTTTAAAAAGAGCTTATGCATGTTATCCATGCCCTGTGTTGGACAGTTTGCTACAAAATCTGCACAAATTATCTTCTGCAGCTCTGCACAATAACAAGTATGGCTTCTGTTGTTTCACTTACCGATCAGAGATCCAACTGAAACACACTGGATTTATTATCACTGTACTTCAGAGAAGCGCAATGAAATTAGATTAGAGGATGAAATTTAGAAGATATTTTCAAGGGAGACAAAATCATGTTGTATTCACTATCTCCTAAACCTGCCTGGACCCTTTGAAATAATGGAAAATTACATCCAAATCAAAAGATTTTAATGCATCCTATCGTGTTGAAATCCATTTAGAAATAAAGTTCTGCAGTCTTATTTTATCATTATATTTGAATTACTGGAGATGAAAAAAAACAATACCAATCCAACTATAAATGGCTGCAATTCATATTGAGTGCTGGTTGTGTACTGTAGAAAAACTTCTGCAGTACACTGTGGTTCTGTAAGTGATACAAGTTTATTTTCTTTCCATTTGTTTGTTTCCTGTAACTTATGATAATAAATGTCAGATGGTAAACAATAAGAAAATACAATTTATCTTGAATGCATTTTATTGATACTAATATATGTGCATTTATTGTTGACTGTTACAGTAAAAAGAAATAAATAAGCCAGACTCCTGAAACAGTGACAGCAACTATAGTTTGTCAGTCTTCCCTCGTACAATAGGAAATATGATTACATGTACTGATTTCAAAGGAAGTAACATCTCATATACTGTATATTCACTACTCTTGACAATGACCAAGGAGTGCACAGACTTTCATTTGTGCAGTAATTACTCCTATTGTCAAGTAAAATCTATCTTAAGATACAGGAAGCTCGTAAAGAATATGTAAAAACAAGTAATGCGGCAATTACAAAATGTAATTTTCTCTCAACAGTGTGGCTCTACAAATAATCATCAATACTGAAGGATATCAATACCTATCACTCTTATTAAGCCTGAGATATTTAGATAATAGAGGAGTACAGTGTTTTGTTGAAACACAGGTGGAACAAAAAGCTTACATAATGTATACACAAACCTAATTTATGATTAAATGTAAAATTGAAATTTTCTTGGATTGTTTTATTTGGATAACAAATCCTCTAACAAACATGAAAATACATGTGTCCTGTTGCGTTCTAACACTGACTATAGCGCCCTCAATCACTCACATTCTGTATCACTCTGGTCAAAAGACAAAGTCAAAAGGATTCACTGCTGCTTTCCAGAAAAAAGCTACTGAGACACATAATAATATCAATAATCAAACCTATGATAATTGCCTGCAATCATTTATTAATTAAAATGCGAAATATAATAAAATAAAGTGCTATACAGTTACACATGTATAAATATGTTGAGTGCTTACGAATACGATAAATACAGTATTTACCCATATCAAAGTTTCAAAGTGCTGTGTATAATCAGAGCTATGTTCACCTAAAAAAAGTACAGAAATCCACTTAATTAAAATGCAAACTGAGATTAATAAACATCCAACTACTGTATCCTCTTTGTACAATACAGCATACAACATTGGGTATGTGATTTTAGGAGGTCTGAATGTAAATAATTTCCAGGGCATCAGTGGCATAATATGATATGATACAGTAACAATTACAGCCTCGTCTCACTGCAATATGATCTTTTAAAGCCGCAGAAGCCACCCTACAAACTCTGTTTGATTTGTTTATCTCCAATGAGATGTGGTTCCAAATGAGTAGAATATAATATGAAGCGAAACCTAGTCGAGTTTTGCACTTTCTACTTCTTTGATCGGTTAAAGCTCGCAGAGATAATAAATACTCCAGCATTCGTTCTGCTTCAAATATTTGAAGTACAGTTCAGTATGTTCAGCTGCCATCGGATGGCAGCACTGTGATATTATTGCAAACCACTAAATAGATTACAGAATGGAAACACTGCCACAGCCCCACAGGCTGCTAAATAAAAACAGCATAATTACTCACAAAAACAGCAATTTTTTTTGTCCATTGTTGCACTCCATGGTTAGAAGTGTTGTCTTCTCGACTTGAGAGAGTGTCTCCTCTTCCTCTTCCTGTGGCACTGCTCTCTCCTCTCTGGCCAGTGGAAACCACTCTCAGCAGTCCTGTAGGCCTCATCGTACTCATCGCTGTCAGAGTCCACCTCCATTGCAAGGAAAACTCTGTGTGGGAAAACCTCTTTCAGATTGGAGGTGAAGAAATCCTCAAGGTTGCGGCCTGCTTGAGCCATCTCGGAGTCAGGCTGTGTTCAGAGAGGGAAAGAGCTATTACCATCAAATCAGTGCTGGTGAAGTACTGACTGATGATTTAAATTTTTAGAATGTAAAGGATTCATTGTGATTATGAGACAAATTGCACATTGAATACACACATACAGGATACACATTTTTAACTTACATAATTGAACTTTGCACAGTTGCGGAACATGAGATAGACATCAGCAACAAACTGTTCTGCCGAGTTATAATGTTGAGTTTTCCTCTTGTTGAGTTTGGCCCTGATCACGGACAGGTCCATAGGCCTCTTAATGATCTGGTAGTAATGACGAGCCTGCATGACAAAGCAGAGGCATTTAACACCGATTTGGATATAATCCACCCAGACACTTTAGCTCCCTGTAACTCATTCCAATGTAATTACCTCATAAGTCTTTCTGCACTCAAAATGCATCAAATACATGTTCCATAGATTGCATTATGGATCATTATGACAAATAGGGCACCACCTCTTTGTAGGCTGCTTGCTTGAGGAATCCTTATTCCTGCCTTGGATGAAATATGCACCATGGAGATGGTCCAGCAACGCATATATAAACCGTAGAGTCTTTATAGGGTGTTTGATTAAATTCAGTTGTGATATTTTTACTGCACTGGACACAAGAGGAGATAACCTTAAGTAGCTATATGAATGGCCTGTGGAATTTACCCTTAACATTACATTTTTTTTTAAATCAGCTTTGCAAATGTTTATCACATTTTTCAGGCCTTAAGGGAACACTCAATGTGGTTTGGTGAGAAAAACTGAACATGAACATAACTTTGTTTGTTACAGAAAAACTCCACAGGGTACCGTTAAGCCACCAAACCCTGAAGGATATAGCAACAATTTAAGTGTGTTTATGTATGCCGAAACAACGAAGAAACATCTTCATGGTGCTACTGTGTTCCTGTAATTATCATGAAAAATAAATGAGATTATCAAAATGAGTTGGCCTTTTCTGTAACTGGTCTATAAAAGTAAAAGGGTGATCACTCACAAGTGGACTGACGGGCTCATGGAAGGGAGCACTCAGGACGTTACTTAGGATCAGTAGAGTCAGCCGCTCACATTTCTACAAACATGACCAAACCAGAAAGAAAATTGTTATGAATGCAGGAAGGGAACAAAGTCACAGAAAACCCACCAGCCATGATTATTATGAATGCAGCTAATAGAATGGCCTACTCTTTGGTCACAGGCAGGCAGTCCATGTGACGATGTTTGTTCTCCAGATGTTCTCTCATTCTCACAGTCATACTCAACCTCTGGCTGCATGACGTCTCTGCACAGGCTGCACACCCAGTCACCTCTGAACAGAATAAGAAACAGCATCAGGTTAACGCTGTCGGCTCCATAGGAGGTCAGAGAGTAATATTAAATGTACTGGATACATTTCATGTTTCAGTATAAGAAGCTTACGAGGGGAAGCTTAGCAGAGACGGGATGTGGCAAGACAAATGAAAAACTTTTGGACAGCGGTCACAGCACAGCAGGTCCCCTCCAATTAGACACACGGCACAGAAGTCCTCACTCTCCATCTCTGCACTGTCCTGGTCAGGCTGGACTTCCTCCGTGGCTCTTTGAGCGACAGGGTTTGAAATCAAAAGCGGCCTCTGAGCACCACCATTGTGGGACTCCTCTTCCAAGTCAGAGCGAAGTGGTTGTGGGTCGTCGGTTGGGAGTTCAGGTTCAGATTCTACGTCGAGCTCAGACTCCACAGAGCCCTGAGAGTCTGGAGGCTGATCGGACACAATGTCAGAGTCTGTCTCGGCCTGTAAACTGGGATCATTGTCAGGCTGGACGTCTGATTCGGTTTCAGCATCGCCCGATTCTGCATCAGTGTCCAGCCCTTGGCCATCCTCTGATCCCTCTCCTGCATCTGATTCTGGGTCTGCCTCATATTCAAGACTTGGTTCTGAATCCCCCGTGATATCAGTTTCACCACAGAGCCGCATCTCTCCTGCAGCCAGTGATTCCTCCTCAGCCAGACATTCAAGTTCAGCCTCAGATAAAGACTCTGCATTTGGGTGAGAATCCAGTGATGCATCTGAGTATAGCTGTGGGTCTGGATCAGCCTGAGAAACAACTGCGTCCTCTGAGACTGATCTGGGATCAGAGTCAGAGTCCAGATCCAGTGCCGAGTAACTCTGTGGTACATATTTAGGGTCGGCAGACGGAGGCGTGGGTGCTTTAGGGGAGCTGATTGTCTCTCGGCTGTCAAACTCTCTGGTGGTCGAGTGTGCGGTAAACTGATTACGGTTCTGTCGCTCTGCATATGGTGGAGCTGTGAGTGAGCGGGTGGTCCTCGTGGTCTCAGAGCCTCCAGCTATCCCCTATGTTTACAGCACATTGGAGAAGAGAAGGGAGGAGAATAGAAGAGAAGAGAACAAATGTTGTCATGTGCGTTTTTATCATATTTTATTTTACATATTTGCTGAATTATAGCATCTAGCTGAATTAAACAATTTTGAAAGCATGTCGACTAGAAGCTCTAGCGATTTCTAAGATGTATTAAATAAATTAGTAACTATCATTCCAAAACTACTTCAACATTCTGTAGATCATGTACAGTATAGGGCATGAAACCCTATGGTAAGCATTTTCACATTGTTCATGGTCTAGTCTGCTTTCTTTGACACATCACAGCGTTGTTACAATACTAACAATTAACACAATACTTTACTAAAACCAAAACTTCTCAAATAGTTGTCTAAACACAAGCAGCCATACAAGAAGTCTTCCTGAACAAAGCACTGTTAGACTTTTGAGTCGGAAAACAATAACTTCACTTGACAGTTTTTGATATTTTCTCTGACACATTTTGGTTGGTATCCAAAAAGTACAGATGTTTGAAATTCCACCATATAAATTACATGGTGATACAATTATACGATGTCATATTGATTAAAAAACATTTTGGCATGGATGAAAATATGTTCTATTTATTAGAAAATACACTTGTATACTATGTATATATAGCCATCTATTATCATAAGCATTATTTATCACTATTAAAGGTTTTCTGCAATCCGACTCCCTCTGGTGTGTTTATAGGATCACCTTTCCTCTACTGTATGCAAAGAAATGAGACATACTTCAGGACTTGCATCATGCCTGGCCCTCTGCTGCAGCAGTGTTCCGCTCTTCTCCGTCCCGCTGGCAGGTAAAGGGTCGCTCTGTCGTCGTCCATGTGGGGGGAGTTGAGACACAAGTATTTTGAGACGCTCTAAGCAAACCACTGGAACCCTTGGCCTTCCTGAGTCCTTCTGAACATCTCTGTTACTTTAGAGGCAAGTAGAGAAAGAATGAGGAAACCATACTTTCATGATTTGTGCATGGACAGATGTTTGACTGGACAGCTATTACACACCTGTTGTGGCTGTTTCTTGATGCACTGCATTTCCCCTTGGTCTCATAACCAAGCTCTTCATTTACACAAGTAAAAGAATGATCTAAAGAGAAACATTTTGTTTAGTTGAGGATATGAGAAACAATCGCATGGTAAGAAAGTTACGCAAGTTAAGAAAGTATTTTGCAGCACCTGGCTCCGTCTTATAGGACAGTAGAGGAGACTGATGTCCTCTGGAGGGCGCTGTGTCAGACAAAGTTTCCTTGACAACACAAAGTACCCCATCTGAGGCTCTCCTCTGTTTGGGATCCATACTGACATACTGAGAACAAAACATTATGTAACACGTATTAGTATATGCAACGTTATATAGTAACTTGAAAAACCTCTGGAAAGCTCCAATGAAAACCGTTTCACTATTTTCTAACATTTTATAGACAAAGTGATTAAACGAACAATCAAGAAGACAATAGGCAGATTAATCAATGATGAAAATAATAGTCATTTGGAGGCCTTAATCAGAGTAATATCTTCATTTTTCTGTGGAACTGTGCTTGACTGTGTATGAGGTAGGCTACTGCTTTGCAATACCAGAACTGACACACAAACGGACAAACGGATCACCTCTATTCTATCTGACAGCTGAGCTGCACTTGTGTGATTATATTCTGATGCAGGGTTACCTTAGTTGCAGCTCCTGCCTGGAGGCTGTGAGTGCATCCTGTGGGCCTTTCAGTATAAGGGCTGGTGGAAGGGGCTGCCAGTTCTGCCGGGATGCTCTGGGAGCGTCTTTCCCTCCTCGTGCACACTAAACTAGGGCTGAGCCTGCTGCTCTGCACATCAGATACACACCCGTGGGCTGTCACCGCCACCTCCAGGGATGTGGATCTCTGTCAGAAACACAAACAGGCAAAACTGAGCAGGTTTTCGAGCTGTATCACATGCACAGATGCCCCTGTTCATGCCATTAACAACAGACAGGAGAGAAAAGGAGTGGGATGTGTGCAGTGGAAACCACCTTGAGTGTCACATAAGCGCACACACAGACAGACACTTAACTCAATCCCTACAAACATGGAGAACGGCCCACACAACTGCATGTTATAGTACGGACAATGAAAAGGTTTGGTTACAATGCTAACATGTAAGTTCAGGGGTGCAGTTTGGCCATTTGATTAAACCAGGACAGCAAATCATTTACTAACACTCTCTCCTTCTCTCTTCTATTACAATTCAACTAATGCAAGTGTCTCAAAAAGCTCCTTTAAACACCTCAGCTAATGAAAGCCGGAGAGCTGACAAATCATTTAGGTTCTTTTTTTAACACATCTCGCCTTCCTCTTTTTTTCTTTTTCTAGTGTATCATCATACATATTCAGGCCACGTAGACACCGAGCATGTACTCTTAAGTATCGTGCGATTAAAACACTTACCTGATCCTTGCCCCTCGGGAGGCGTATGCAGGATTTAGAATGTGGAGGAAAATAGACTATAATCCTTCTCTCTGGAACGATGGAGGGGTGTACAAATTTATCTCAGAGAGCAAACTAGAGCTGAAATTAAACTGGCAGCTCCCTCTATTCCCTCAGCGACTTATTAATGACAGGTTAAGTACATAAATGACGCCAAAGTGGTTTTATGTAGTTTTCCGATGCTGTGGGACTTGAAAATGCTAAATAATGCATCTTGTGTTCGTAAACGTGCACCCTGAGACTTTTTGGGCGAGGTGATTATGTGGCTGCTCAAACCTCCGGCATCAAGTGTGATTATGATGAACAGTGCTCTCCTGGTTTTGGGATGCATTGCTAAGAACAGCTCAGCTGTAATTGTCAGACCAGGTCTTTGTTTTCCAATCATCCTTTCTTCATAAAAGCAGGAACACATTTCTGTTGCACCATCTGTTTTCAGGCTAGCTGTCAACTGTGGGAAGCGACCATTCTGGCATTCAAATAAAGCTGTCCTTTAGTTTCAGTCATTAAGAGATAATTAAAACCGAGTACCGCCTCAAATTCAACACTACCTTAACCTTCAACATTTCAGAAATATACAATAACCACTTCCCATATGTAAAACATTGTCCTACTGGCATTTGATGTGATTTAAATGTCACTGCATGATGCATTTTTTTAAAATTAGGCTTTGTTGCCTTTGTCATTTGTTCTTTGTGTTTGTCTGAGTGAGTATTTGAACATCTATGTTCAGTAGGAAATAGACTGACTCTGACAGATACATTGTGGGCTTTGAGAGGTGTGTATAAACAGAGTGGTGTGGTTTTGTTTGAGGCCAGAGAAACTTTGCAGAACCACGTGTGAAACAAAAAACGAAGACTGAGGTGCACAAAATCCAACCGCATGTCTTGCTGACATCTCACAACTGATGTTGATCACAAACAAATATACAAACAAACAATTTTAGGGTTCCTTTTTTTTACGTATTGCAATATTCAGTATTAGTCTAGGGTTATTGTTAACTTAATCTCTCACCCTGCCATCTCTGTGGTCTCTGAGCATCAGTGCAGGTCTATTTCTCTGCAGCTCTTTTCTCAGCTCTGCTGCAGGAGGAACATGGAGCTGCTGCTGCTGCTGTTGGACAGGACTCTGCTCCCTCCTGTCCTGCTGCAGTTCCACATCCAGCAGCGCTCTGCTTTCAACCGCTGCCATTTGTCCTCGAGCCTCCTCCACTCTGCACCTCTCCTCCCAGTTCTCTTCAGTCATTACATCTCTGTCCACGACTGTGTGGCTGACTTGCTGCTGCAGAGCCGTGCTGGTCGACAGCTTCCTCTGACGTTGGCCTGGCCTGCAATGGTCTGCACTTGGCTGAGACTGGCTGTCTGGAAGAACTTCTCTCTGATGTTGGCGATAGAGATAAGATTTAGTTTGAGACTGGGGCTGAGAGGCAGCAGCTTGTGGCTGGGATGTAGATCCTCGACTGCAGTGGAGCTGGATGGGTCTCATGATCGGGACAGGTGATGAAGTGGGAGGACATTGCGACGAGGTGTCTGGGTCCCAGCACCTCTGGAGCTGCTGGCTCTGGTGCAAGGAGGCAGAGAAAAGGGCAGGCTGAACACAGCTGGAGTTATAAAGGGCGGCTTCCAGACGGCCTTTATCCAGACTGGAGATATCTGGTTGAGAGGGAATGCCATGGACGCAGCACATTTGGAGCTCGCAGCATTTCTGGTACCCACAGCCTGGTTCTCGTCCTCTGTGACACACGGACGGCAGAGCCAAGCGGGTGATTGGCTGAGGCCTGAGAATACTGGAGCAGGCCAAGCCCTGAGGGTAAATGCTGTTTCCCCCTTCAACAGTCAGCTGGCCTGCAGAGACACAGAGTTACATTAAGAGCTCTGTCCAACCAAATGATGCAGTAGGTCGAGCAAACATTAACAATTGTTTGCTTCAGCTATGCAACAGAATTGTTTTTGGATTGAGAAGGTATCTCACTTTGGCAAACATTTTGATAGTGATGCATTGAACACTATTCACACAGCAATAACAAGTATGCTTAAATGCCATAAAAAACTTTTGCAAATTCATTGAATTCTGTTTTGCAAAAATTAGATTTTATTCTAATACATAAACATTTTTCATGTGGGCTCATTTTCAGTTTCAATCTCTTTCTGAATAATGAGAATTTACCTGTAATACAACCATAGTAATACAACCATCTCACTTCAATAACAATAATTATACCTAAAGAAGAAATCTGCTTCGTCCAGTAACTTGCGTCCCAATTGAATTTGATCCTGACAGGACTCCAAGAGTCTGAGTGGAGTGACGACTCAAGCAGCTGCTGCATCTGAAGAGAAATCTGAAGAACATATATTCTATTAACAAAAAACAGGACGCATTCCACAAACCCCGCTGCTGTCACTGATTTCTATAGTAAAATTATAAAAAATAAAGTTGACACCTAATGCTGAAAGAAAAGCGGCAGGAAATCAAACACCAAGACCAGGCTGCAATAACACAGATATCCCACTCTTAGCTTTAGAAGACTAGAGTTACATCCTACACTGAAAAAAGCACCAGCCATGAATATAACATCAAAAGAGTATGCAAGTAATTTTGTATTGCACTTCCCTAAAGTTACAGGCATCACAAGAGGTGTGCAAAAAAATTGTCAAAAATTGTCTTCTGTTTAACCCTCCCTGTCTGGTAAATGCCTGCATCTTTCAAACTCCACTCTCCCAGTTTATAACACAGGCTTTCTCTTTATCTAATTTGTAGTTTCCAAGCCGGAGCCGAAATACCCCAGTGATGCAACTTGAGTAATTTACTCAGGCTTACTGTTACAAAGCTCTAGAAACCCAGGAGACATTGTACAACTGCTTCCAGTAGTAGGGTGACTAATAAACTTTAAGCGGATAATAGTTGAAATTCCCCTTAAAATACAAAGAAGCATCGGCAATTAATTACTCCTTCCTCATAGGGCTGTGTGTGTTACAATAAGATAGTGGACGTCTGTTGCCTGCCCTCTCGACGTACCAGAGCCCTGCTGAAGAGTACCGGGCCTCTGCAGTGGTGTGTCGTGGCCCAGGTGATGAACTTCTGAACATGGTCCAGCTGGCCACATATCTCGATTGCCCCCTGCAGCTGGTCCTCCAGACACTGCTGGAAGTCCTCTGAGATTTTCTGCAAAGAAACCCAGAAAAATGCATCAAGTAATTACCGATACACAGAGAGTCACGGCTGGACTGTGGGCTGACTCAATGGCTCTTTTTGTGACAGACGTAGTTCCTGAGATGTTTGCTTAAGCAGTTTTGATAGATTATTAGGGGTCCTTGTTTGGTTGCTTTCAGGACTGATTACATCACGACGGTTACTGATTCTTTGCATATAGATTCACAGCTGGCTGAACGATGAGAAGGAAAGAAAAAGAAAGTAATTACCTCCAGTTGCTCTATTAATAGGTTGGCTCGTTTGTTAAGCTCGTTCATCATAATCATCTTTGCCATTTTAATCTGGTTCTCTGCCTTCCTGTGTGCAATCTTTACTCCATGAAGTCTTCGAAGACAGAAAGGAGAAAATAAATGTGTGAGAAAAATCCCAAATGCAGAAGAACAGAGCAGCATTTCAGACATTAATTTATGCATTGGCTTGCTGTAATTCACCCTGTTAAATTATTGAGCATTTGTGGCAGAGGTTGCTCAGACTTGGGACTATGATTATAACTCTTCACCCACCTGTCCTCTATCTGCTTAGCATTGTTCTCCACTGCAGACCTCCTCTCATCCACCTGAACCATCAGGCTGTCAAACAGCCACTGCTGATCCTGTAGGGCCTTCCCAATCTGCACCACCCTGAACACACGAGAGATCATAGCATCCACCACACAGAAAGTTCACTAATTTATTCTTCGGGCACGAAGAACACCACAATTAAAATTGTTTCCCCTGAGGACAAGACATTATGCAGGTGACCTTAGAGGCAGCTACTGTACTGTAACATCACAGAAAACAAAATCATATGAATACTTAATAGGTATTAGGTGAGCCAAGGGTAGTGTATGCAGACACAGATGATAAAAGTGACAAGGCAGTTCAAGAGAGTTGTTGCTCAGAGGAAGTTTTTAACCTGCGGTTAGCACTTCTCTGCAGTGTCCTTGTGCTGTGTATCTGAGGACTGACCTGTGGTTTTTGTGGGAGGACAGGTGACAGCTGCTACAGCACAGAAGGTCACATAACTCACAAAACAGCTCCAAGGGCTCCTGTCTGTGAGAATTGCACATCAGAAGGGAACAAGGATACGACCCCGGGCCTAAAAGACATACGGACGGAGGGAGGAGGAGAATTAGCAATTCACACGAACAGCTAGAGGAGGACCATTAGTGTGTACACGTAGTATTTAAACTAACTAACTACTGACTGGCTGACTGACTGACTCACAGAGAGTTCTTATAAGTCAAATAAAAATATCAAATCGATTTATTAGAGGAACTAAATTAAATTTGATTAGGGTTGAAATTTGTTTCATAAACAGAACAATTGGTTTGGATATTAATTTGTATTTTAGTTATCTTGATGCCTGAAAGGCATGCATCATCTCATGCGTCAATTGCACTTCAGAACTTGCCAAGTTTAAAATGTTGTGTTTTTTGAGTAATTAGGAGTAGGGCAAATGAAGGTAAAATATCGAGACAGAGACATCTTAACATGGTTTAAAATCAGTAGCTTCTTCCGTATAAATGTGAGAGTGGTATCAATTTTCTTATCTAACACTCATCTGGAAAGGGAGTAGGCATATTTTCCAGAATGTCCAGTGTAAATAATCTATTAATTTTAACAACCACCCCAATTTTGGGTGTGGTTTGCCTAAATTGAAACAAATTGACATTTTTTATTAGACCCAGGCAATGAATTTGGCAATAAAGTTTTCCAGCATGTATTATATTTTTAGACAGCCTGGCTGTTTTGAAGACGGGGAGACACTATATTTTTATATATATATATTATATTTCATAAATATATTTTTTTAACATGGCTTTCTTCCTAAACATTACCATAATGAGCTAAATATGAAAGCCTAATCATTCAATACACTCATTATCTCTTTGTATTCATATAGTTTTTCATAGTATACTGAAAAGTATCTCCGCGAAAACGGAACGCACAGGCAGGGCACCTACGCCGAATTGTAGACCACGTCGACCTCTAAAGACCTATGGAGGTGGATACAGAATCGGACACTCACAGCCGAGGCACGACGTGGTCAAAGTAGGCCACAGGAGCCATATTGCGCGGTCCATATCTCCGCGAAGACAGAACGCACAGCCGGGACACCTACGCCGAATTGTAGGCCCCGACGTCCTCTAAACGCAGAATCAGGCGGCACCAGGATCAGTCACTCACAGCCGGGCCAGCACGTACGCAAGGTCGACGAAAATAGCTGCAATACTCTGTCAAAATCCCAGCGAAAGACGAGCGCCAAAACTCTGTTTCCTCCAACGAAAGTGCCGTTTTGCGCGGCCCATATCTCCGCGAATACAGAACGCACAGGCAGGGCACCTACGCCGAATTGTAGACCACGTCGACCTCTAAAGACCTATGAAGGTGGATACAGAATCGGACACTCACAGCCGAGGCACGACGTGGTCAAAGTAGGCCACAGGAGCCATATTGCGCGGGTAAAAAGCGGGAGTAACTATGACTCTCTTAAGGTAGTGGAAGTTAAACTTGTACATGGTGCTACAAGTAGGACGGTGGGTTAAAAGTAAACTGCGATTAGTTATATTGATATGCATCATTAAAACTGGCCTACCTCTGCACTACGATACAGAAATAATAATACAATTGCGGGAAATAGGTTGCAAGTTGAGTATTGAAATGTAGGTGAACAATATTTCAGAGCTGTCCAATCTGCCTTTGATGAACCAACCACACTTGCACACATACTAATGCACTCTCTAGCTCTCACACATTTCTAAATAGGTCACCGTAGAAACTGTTGGCCCACAGAACGTCTACCTAATAATAGCAGGATATGGCTAATGAACGCAGCCCTACTGCTCTCTGCTGGCCGGCTCACCTCAGCCAACCCCCTCCTGCCTGCAGATTATCACACCTCTCTGTGGTAAAGAGCCGAGCATCACCATGTGTGCATCAACCTGATCTGACTGACCACATCCTGTCTTTCAGCGCAGAGACACAGCGTTTTCTCACAAGTAAACAAACCAAACAGTAACAGTCCCATATCACAATAAGGGTGTCCAGGACTTATTCTTTATGATTTGACAACTTGTGTGATGCAGACCTGCACAAGCAGCTGGCAACAAAGCTGCCAGGCATATTTGAGGGTCTTTAAATAGCAACACACTAAAATTAGCAAAAAAAGAAGGAATCTGGGCCACTTGTTAAAAAGAGGTGTAATAAAACACAAGGATCTCCAGCAACTATTATCAGCCATCGCCACTAACATGCATTATTCATTGCAATGGTTCCTGCAGAGACATGATTAACAAACAAACAGAGCACCAGAGGGAAAACAAAGAAGCCAGAACAGGCTTTGTGGTGACAGAAAGAGAGGCAGACTGCACAGCCACGATGATAGTCTGTCATACAGGCATGGAAATGGAGGTAACAAAGTCTTAAAAAATGTAAATATCTTGCCTTGTCCAGTCAGAAGCAGGGAGCTGGAGCCTCTCTGGAGCCGGTCAGGACACTGGGCAGCACTGGGCCTCTGTTGCTGGTGCATGTCTGTGTACTGGGAAGTGGTAGGGGCTCTCTGATGCTGATGCACATCTGTGCACTGGTAACACATCCACTTGTTGCAGAGCGTACACAGGCTCTGTGCAAGTGTGGGCACTGAGCACTCTGAGCAGCTCTGAAAGACACACACAAAGAAAAACCTTCCTTGTGTATTAAATATACAGTGGACAGTACACACCCCCTCCCACACACCCACACACACACACACACACACACACACAGAGATGCCCATGTGATAAAACGACAAGGTGGCATATGTCAGAAACATTTGCTTTGGGCTAAATCACACCTCCAAGAGTTGTTATCTGTTCTCATGCTAGCAAATGTCTTAGAGACTGTAAGTGGAATTGAACCTGTGCTAGAGCAACGTTTGAGTACATTTAAACATTGATTTAATTTTCCAACCATGCGCATAATGATGCAAGTTAACTTTAAAAAGGAACGACATAAAATCTGTTAAAATAGGATATATTATGAAACGCCTCTTAGTCCCTTGTGTTTACATCTGATTTTGTTTCAGATATAACTAAAAGAGCACGCAAGATGTCTAAGCAAACCGAGTAAGATGTTGCACAGTGCAGCCTGCTAGGTTATGACTTATTATTCCCTGTGGGGAGATTCATCCTCTGCAGTTGAACCTTCTTACCAATTCAGGATCGGTGAAAAGCGCCTCTGGAACAAATCCAGTTTTAAAACCTGAACACTTGTCCAAATGTAACGGCAGGGGTATCCCTAATATCTAACATGCCTCTTAGGGTGAAGAGAGAGCACCACAAACATAGGAAGCATGTCAACTTTACACAGAAAGGCCCACAGTGCCCTAAAGGGGTTCAATCACATGATCAACAGTGCAAACTCAGAAACTAATGCACAAAAATAAACAACCTCCAGCTGTGTCAAGATCAAGATAGGAAACAATGCTGAAACAAACATCTTACCTTCTCCATTTCAGTGCTTTGAGAGTGGAGCTGTTGCCTTCTCAGCGGGAGGGAGAGGAGCGCGAGCAGCCTGACAACTCGGCAGCAGAAGCACTGAGGCTTCTACCTGAGGCAGGAAGCAGCACGCACAGAGAGGTGGCCCCAGAGGAGACGGCTTACATGACAGCCTCACTGTGCTCTCTCCTCCCCCAGTTCATCCAAGTGTAGGACCCCCTCACTGCTGTGGAGGAGAGTGTCACAGTCATATTCATCCCCCTGCATGCTGTTGCAGCCACCGAAAAAGAGAGAAAATCTAATCCTTTTTCTTAAATAAGCCTGTGCATAATAACTGGGAATTAGGGAGATAAGATAATTATTTTTTTGTAGGGCAAAATATCCCCGGAAGCCCTTTCCAAAATGGAGGAAGGAAGACCAAGTGACCTACAATGAGTAAGGGAGGGAGAAAGTGTACTGTAAGCAACTTTTAGTTTTTTGGAGAGGGCAGCGTGAGGCAGGATCAGGCGATGTTCGGCTCAGGTCGAGTCGGGGTATGTGGGGCTGAGCTAAGATAGGACGGCTGTGGCCTTCTTCTCTTTGTCAGCAACGAGGAGGGAACAGGTCCCAACGGAGCTACATGCTAACGTAGCATACCGAAACCGGGTCAGGCTCTGATAAGCTCCAGATGGGACCAGGGTACCCTCCTGCAATTCCCTCCAACACTGTGAAATCAATTAAGATTTTAACTCAACATGTCAGAGAAAATGAACAGAGCACACTATAAGAAGAAAGAAAAGGAGCCAACTGTAGACAAAGATGAAGGTTTTTTTAGATACAGAACTGATTATATTTTGACCCTGCATTTGCAAAAAAAAACAAGACAATATGAAAGTTGAAAAAGGGGAACCAGGGACCAGGGTACTGCTGAAACCAATCCAAACTTAAAACAAACACTCGCCATATAACCAGTGCCAAACCACTGAGACATCTCAAGCTGTGAGCAAGTCTGCCTAACAACAGCCCCTGCAGCCTGACCTACAAATCTGACAACTTTCTCATCCTTGGGTGCTTCAGTGGGGAGCTCAGAACAATCCCATCACCCATTCTGCACTCAAAGACCTAATTTGAAACACAATTAGTCTGTCGCATTACACCTTGCCTCTAGTTCACTCAGCTCTGTAGCATTTTCAAACTGTGCACTTTCTTTCTCTGAACCTTCACTGCATTTATCCTTTAAACTGAAACCTCCCGCCAACTCTCCCTGCCCTGTTAAGTGAAGCTGGCACTAGATACGCATGCCATCTCAAGGGATGTCTCAATAATAGAAACCTGCACAGTGATCTCTCCCTTGAAAGCACCCCCTATGTAACATCTATTAACACTGAAGTGATGAGATCACAGAGAAAGCAGGATTATCTTCAACAACTCTAAAGTTGTTATGTTATTTAACTACTTCTGTTCTCAAATAGGTTACTTACTGTGCTGCAAAGAAATCCATCAACTGGAGAGTAAAAATCTTCACTTGCCTCATGATTATGAAATGCAAATAAATTCTTAAGAAATTACAACAAGAAATAACAAAACCCCACGGTAGGAGTTCTTCTTATGAATCTTAGCTGCTGCTACTTCACACAGAAACAAGATTGTTAAGAGATATTTGATCCATTATGTTGATCTTCTCATCATGAGGTGCTTGAACTGCTTCAGCTAATGGGATCTCACTATGAGCCTCAAGTCAAACGGTTAAAGACAATGCACAGCAGTCACACCATTGTTCTTATCCATGGAGTTATCTCTTGTTTAAAGCTCCCTTAAAAACAACCCTGGTGTATAATACATGTTTAGCCACCAGGGGACAGAGGAAGAACAAACAAGCTAACATATTATTGCTTTGTTAAGTTGTTGTTGTTGTTGTGTTTGCTGTTGTTGCTAACTCTGTTGCAAAAATTGGCTTTTACAAACACAGAGAGTTATAGCTGTTGTATGATGCTCGACCAAAATGGTCAAAAAGATCCAGAAAGCTGTAAAGTTAGTCCTCCGCTGTGAGTGATTAAATTAGCCTACATGTAGTCACTTAATTCAATATCAATATAAACCTGTTTATTGATTGATTGATTATATTATATTGATCAATTACATTCTCTCAATTATGGTGGGATTTGAAGGATGATTCTTATTGTTTTTATTTGACAGTTTAAGCAAACATATTACTTTAAATTAAATCTAATTAAGGACTTGAAGCATGTGTCAGAGAGAGACAGAATTTACAGAATATATTACAGGTAAATTCCTGAATAAAATAAGGGGGGAAACAAACATTTAGAGGCTTTTTTAAAGACTACTCAAGGATTTCATCAGTGAGGTTGCACTGAGATGAATTCGACAAATATTTCTAAAATCGTTGCTATGGCCCGGAAAAAGCCAGTTTTATCTATATAGCATAACATCACAAATTGTGACTCCAAGTCCCCTTAATTTAGAAAAGGAAAGACTACCCCAAAACTTTGAGAAAAATTAAATCGGATTTGCCCCAATGCCTAATACATTATTTTATTTCCATGTAGTGAAATTGAATGGGAGCTTTAACTTGTCTTGAAAAAACTACAGATTTTTCTCATTTGTTGCAACTATCCAGTTTGTGATATGGTGTTATTCTGTCTGAAATATAGCAATATAAAACAATGAATCAGTATGGGCAGACCACTGTAGTGTTGTGATGTATTACTCGCTGTATATAAAGCTGTGGGAATTTGGGATTTTCCTTATGGCTTGTTACACGTTTGGCTGCCTGTTCCATCTGTTCATGAACGTGTCACCGTGACAGCACTTTATGAACGCGTCTTCGCTTAATAACAACCAGCTTGTCAGTCAAACTGCAGAGTGTCTGCCCCCGCATCCTCAGCCTGCCTCTGCATTAGCAACATCACCTCCAGCGCATCACTGAGCGTGATATTATTTTTCAGAAAGTGCGCATGAGATTACGCCCCTATCATGGCATCATGGTGCAATCCACAACAAAACAAGAGGACAGCCCGCAAACATAAAGTCAGTACACGGATAGTTTGGTGCACAGAGCATCCACAAACTGTGTCTGTGAACAAAATCCGCTCGTGAAGTGCGTAGCTCGTGCAAAAGCATCATGTCAGGTAAACATCAGAGTGAGCGCGTGTGAGGATGTCAGAGTGTGAGCGAGACTGTCTGCCGAGCAACTGCACTTCTGTCGGCCTGTCAGTGATGTCAGCTGTGCTGCTGTGTCTCTGTCCTAAGTGCGAGAGTGTTTTTTTTTTTCTTTTACCTTGACCCGTGCATCTCCGAGTGCAAGTCCCCCTCATCGGATGTCGCTCTTCAGACCGGCCAAAATTTTGGAGATATCCAAGTCTCGCAGTTAATCGTGAGATTTTACATTCGTTCTCTCATGCAATACTTCTGACGTTTCTCAAAGCTGTAACACTTGGTGAGGAGACTGGATTATTTTTGGAAAGTTTGTAAGAAAGGCATTATGGAAACATCACTGCTGCAACGTGATGGAAGAAGTATTCACATCCTATTCACATATTATATATGTAAAGTAACAGTACCACAATGTGAATAGTATCCATTATAAGCAGTGGTGGAATGCAACCAAGTACACAATTTGACATAAGCTACTTCCATTTTACGCCACTACATTTATTTGACACTTATTCAGTAGTTGCATGTATTGTTAGTGATAACACAGAATATTAGTATATTCTGTGTAATAATATAACACTGTGAAAGAAGCCATTCTGCATAGTGAGTACCTATACTTTTGACACTTTAAGAACATTTTGCTTATAGTACCTCTGTACTTTTACACAAGTGTCCTTTTTATTCAGGATTTTTACTTGTAATAGGATGTTTATAGAACATGTTAAAACTAATTAAAAACCGTGCATTAGAAATTGTATCCGAGTAATCATGCACAAGTATTATTTGCACTTAAATCGTCAAAAGTAAAAGTATTCATGCAGCACAATGGTCCCTATATATTAAATTATTGCTGCATTAACATTAAATCAGCATTTAAAGATGGAAGATTAACTGAATATACTGTTAGGTAGTTTAAAGTAATCAAGTGAAGTACCTAAACATTGTTCTTGGGTACAATATCTGAGCAAATGTACTTAGTTACCTTCCATTGCTGCGGCTCAAATTAGAAACATACGTAAACTAAAGTTGACGCTTAACAAAAGTCTTCATATATGAATGATATAATTTATATCTGTCATATTACAATATTGCCTTAAAACAAATATGATGAAAAACAAAGTCTATGAATTTTATTGCAATATCAAATCAAAGGTTCATCAAATCAGTTAGTCTGGTGGAAGAAGTTAACAATTGTCCTTAAAGAACCAAATACCACCATGTAAATTTATTCTCATAAACTTATTCTCATAAACTACAGCATTTAAACATTTCTTTAAGTTTATCAAAGCCTTAGTAGCAAAATATACTCAAGTCACAGTATCACTCTGAGTACAAGTCATTTTAAAGGTGTTAAACCATTGATTGAAACCATTGCATTAATATGTAATATTAATATGTAAAGCAACAGCCATCAGATAAATGTAGTGGAGTAAAAGTACAAAATCTCCTTTTGAAATGAAGAGGAGGTGAAATTATGGTTTTACAAAATAAAAATAAAGTACTACGACCTTGAAATGTGACATAAATAATGTAAGCTAAGAAAAGGGATATAGAGTAGGTGTTCAGTTTAATACTAAACAGAGAACACAGTTACTTCACGTCAAATGTCACCCTTAATTGCTATAAAGGACACAAGCAGAGAAAAAGTAATATGGCGGCTGGAATCAACAGCGAGCCTCTCAGTTAGGAGAGCTAATAACAGCACGTCAGTGACAGCCACCAGAGTGATGTGCAGAGACGTAATAAGGTTACCGGCAGCATGTGGTAGCTGGTGCTAGACTAACTGTGCCTTTTGGGATCTTACCAGCTTCTCCTAATGCATAGCTTTGGGGGAAGCTGTCATTGAGATGTCGGATGTAAAGAGAGATGATTTTTATATCATCTGACAAACTGTGAATTACATATTTCTGTTTATAAAAGGGATGTCTATGTGCTTTGGGTCTTGTTTTGTGAGTAATTAAGGCTGTTGAGTACATCTGTAATGTTGTTATTGATAAGTGGGCTTTTTGGCTGATATGACTTGGCTGACAAGTGTGTGTGAGAAAAATACAAACAGATTTATGATGAGTCAAAATCCTAGTTTGGTCTTTAAGCAATAGTTAACAACACAAATATTTAACATGAATATTTTTAGTAAAGTCAATACTGTGCACTTTGAAGCATTTGAACATGTTTTTAATAAAAGATTGCAAAAGACTCTAAGAAGAGTTACAATCATTTTCTTCATTGTCTTGATGCATGTACAGTTTTCGAATAGGTTCTACACTCCTTAAACAGAGGACAACACTGTGGTGAAATAATGCAAAATGAAAACATATGAACTGTACATCTATGCCCATGTCAGGTCACATACACTCACACGTCCTGATAACACTCTTCACACGCACACCTGGACATCAGTGGTTACTCTACGGCTCACTCGCTGAGTACCGTGCTACTAGCGCTATCTCATAAGGTACTATAAACATACACTGAAGAGTATCACAGCCAGCTTACAGTGAAATAATATGTACATGTTTATTTTTTTTAAAACGTTATAAAAAGGTGAGAATCATCATAATGCAGAGACTTGAGACATCAGGTCTTCAGTTTGTTGTACGACTGAAAAGAGGAGGATGAATTCTCCTCAGTTCTTTTTGTGGAGAAACTTCATTTTACTTCCTGAAAATAGTTAAAACAATTATATTAAAATATGTCAAATACATCAACATCTAAGAGTTTCAATTTTATTCAGGTTATTAAACTGTATATGGGGATTAAACCAGGCTGAGATTACGTGGAGTTTGGTCTGATTTAACCACGAGGCATCTGTCTACAATCCAAGTAGAAATCTGAATATCTGCTCAAGTGTGTGGATTCCAGATAAAAATGTTTAAATATCCCCTCCAGACATGTTTAAAGACATGAAAAATACTCTGGATAAACACACAACATCCTGCTTATATGAAGTATTACAGGCCTGAAACGGAAATTTCAAGTTGGCAAAGGTAAACTTTCTCCCTTCAGCAGATGAATGTTAAAACAGCCTTCTGGTGTCAAACTCTGCACATGCATCATTCTGCACAGCAAGGCTCAAACATCCAGGTGATGTCACACTAAGAAAAACACATTTGTAACCTTATTATGAACCTTTGACAGACTTTCCTTGATTATTACATAATGTTAATTAAACACTGATGAGTTCAAATCTGGACAGAGCAAATGAGTAGCAGCAATTGAAATATGGAAAAGTGTGATCTAATCTTGCAGTGTCAGGGTTTTCAACAAAGCTAAAGAGAAAATACAAGAGCAGCCTGATTTAAAACTGTTGGAGAAAACAACGAGTCTAGTCTCGTGTGTCTGCTGCAGGACTCACCAAGGCCTTTCAGAAACTTGTTGACTCCACTTTGCTCTGTGTCTGGCAGCTCCTCCAGATACTGATCCACCCTTTGCTCAAACAAACCTGCCAATGGGACAAGAAAAGAAAGAAAAAAAAGAAAAAGAATGAAACATCTCATATTGCAGGAAGTTACAATTATTTTGTCTGCCAAGGAGCAGAGTGGTGTGGTGAGAAAACATGCTGATGATACCTTTCAGCCACTAGAGATCAGTGTTACTGCAGTGCCCTCTCCTGCACAGTTAGTATTTTAGATAGTACAAGGTTGGAAATCCTTAGAGAGATGTGTACAGACCTGGAAACAACTGACACTCAGGGAACGGACAGTCTACCTTTAGCCCGGGTCTTCCTCAGCTCCCGATCCTGAATGAACCCAGCAAACATCTGAGACTCCATGAAGACACCCAGGAAACGACGGATGCTTTTAGATGCCACGGACTTGCGGAAGGCCTCTCTTTGGAAAATGCGCTCTCCGCGCTCATTCTGCGTGATAAACAGGGAGTAATGGCCGATGGTCTCCAGGAAGAAGCGGATGAAGGCCTCCGACACCAGGCTGTTCAAGGAGTTATACTCTGTAGACACAAAGGAAAAGGGATTAATCCAGAAAGATTTTTTTTCCTTCTCACTATTGTACAACTCATGGATGTTTTAATGTTGTTTTGCCACCATATTACTTATAGAAAAATGAACCCTCTGAATGACACATAAAAAAGTAAGCGTAATTTGGCACCAGTCAGCTTGACACGCACCTCTCATCATCAGAAAAACACATATTTTCTCATCTCTAAGGTGAGCCTTCGTGACTCACTGTGATGAGGAGTCGGTGCAGAAGATGTCAGAGTTTCACAGAGACTTGGACCGAACGTGTTCTGCCACAGAAACTGTTGCGCCAATTAACAAGGAACCTGTCTCGGTAAGAAATGATGATTTGTCACTCATTCACCTTCGTCTGACTCGCTGTCAGAGTCCTGGCTGATGATGTCATTCCTCTGCTCCAGCGCTTGCTCAAGAGCCGCCTGAAGTTTCCGTGGCAACAGCGAGGCCTCGTCGTCCATCTATAAACAACAGAAAACACTGCAGTCAGTGATAAACAACAATGTTTGGAGACTACGTTTCAAAGGCTCAGACTTACAACAGAGAACCGCATGTTTTACAACCCTGTTTAAAGCGAGACCATGTGACGTTTGAAAGAAGAAAAAACACAAAAGTGGATTCGATGACAAACATAAATCACACTCGCATTCAGGGTTTTTGCGGCATCAGCCTTACATGGTCTTATATGACCAGTAACTTACATGCTTAATGTCTGCCGGCTTTAGTTAAAGACGTGAGATACATATCGATGCTGTGTAACATACTTTGCAGTTTGCCGACTCTTTGCTACTGTTACACATGTACAGATTAACATTTAAGTGGTTTAATCACAAAAATAAATTGAGAATTAAACACACATACGTATTTCACCAGGATATGTTTTTTTAAGCTTGTGGGCACATTACAATTGTGCTTAAGGGGATCTTGTCTTATTTATTTTCCTGCATTTTGCCTTTATTACATGAAAGGTCCCCAGGCCTCAAACTGAGGGTATTGCCAAAATGACTCAAGAAATGAAGGGAAATCAGCATTATGTTGCCACAGTGGCCACTGTTTAGCAAAATGTATATAGTCTCACTTTAAGTACAGTTTTTTATTTCAATAGACTAACCTGTCGAATGAATCGGTCAGTTCCCAGGTCGACCATTAAAGCCTGAGAAAAGGAAAAGAAGAGCATATCATTCTTTAGAACTCATTTAAAAGTTGTATCTCCGACAATAACTGTATATTCCATGCATGAAGTGTTGGTCAGCAACACTTCATGCGGCTCTGAGTCATGGCTTGACTTTTGATATAGATCAAGTTCAGGTAAACAAGTAGATTGATGAACATAAATACAGCAGATTCTTTCACAGATAATTTGTGTCATTAGGGCTGCAACTAACCAATATTTTCATTCATCAATTACTCTCGTTTGTTCTGTAAAATGTTGATTCCCATAACCCTTGTTGGCTTGTATTGCCTGATCCAACAGTCCAAAACCCAAATATATTTAGTTTATGGTCCCAATAGAGATTAAAAAACAGAATCACATCTTAGAATTTAGGCTGAACTACATATTTTGTTTATTAACGCGTCACAAATCAATATCTTTATGTGACTAACTGATCACATTACTATGTATTGACTGAAATAAATAAATGAACAGAAAATTATCACCCACTCTGCAGATCTCCTCAGCTCCACAGAGCATTTCCAAATCAACTACATAAGGTGACAACATGTCAGTTATATTTACAGCTTGTTCCACTTGCCCTCAAGTGGCAACAACAACACTAAATACACCTTGCAGTTTCTCTGGTCTGAATGGTGCTGAACGAAAATGTAACCACAGTTTTGAATCCTTTCCTCTGGTTGGATGTTACCTGGCTGGTTCCCTGATATAATAAGACTAGAGGCAGAGGAGGTCAAACAGACGCAGCAACAGTCAGCCAATTTATAATGAAGTTGTTCGGAATCTGTATTGTTGTAATTTATCAGCCCAGACAATAATATCCACTATTCCAAGGAACAGGCTTCAACCAGAGAACAGAGCGATAGAGACAGAACATCAACCAGGGACATCTGAAGAATTTTGGAGACATTGGCCTGAAATGTACAAGTCTGGGAAAGAAACTGCACAGAGGTAGCCAGGCAGAGAAAATGCAGATAAGGTACTCGCCTCTTCCACAGGCAACTCCTTGAGTTTGGGCATAGAGCTGGACAGCAGCCCCACCAGGAAGGGAGTGGGACAGCAGACAATATCCAACATGGAGCCCGGCAGCACGGGGATGAAGGTGTGTTGCCAGGAGAAGGGGTAGAGCAGCGCCACCACTGCATGCATGCAGCTGGACAGAGTACTGATGAAGGGAGACAAAAAAAAAAAAAAAAAAAAGGTACACGCCATCAATCACCTTCACACTCACAATAACAACACCCTGCAGAGGCCACACCAGTTTAAACTGAACACGGTCAAAATGGAGCAGATGTTTCACTAGATAATGAAAAACGTTTTTTCCAGACTGAAAGGGGAGTGGTGGTTTATATGGTAACAACATTTTCCTAAAAATACTGCCTACTGAGGTCATGAACTTCTGTAGTTGTTAAAAAAATAAATAGTATCACTCAAAATGTTCAAACCACTGAACTATAAGAGCAAAAATGGTGTATTTCCATTCCTAATCTCTCTGGTTACATGACTTGATCCTCTTTTCCTTGAAAGAGTTACTTTAAATGAGGCCAAACAGCACAGTGTATGTACTCTGACTTTGGCACTTTGTTCTTCCTGCAGCTCATCTGAAGGACAGACGAATCCATCATTGTCAAAGTTCTTACACTTTCACAGGTTTCTGGACAAATTACTGCATTTATCTATTGCACTCCTCCCTCTCAGAGTTTAACACCATCTACTACAAACCACAATGAAGAATGGTGAGCCCAATAAATCGCATAACTGTGACATTACTATACTGTCTGCAGGGCTGGCGTGACTCTGACATGTTGCTATAGTTAAACTTGAGGCTTGTTGACGTAATACCAAAAAGCGCCACTTTGGTTTAACTCCGACAGCTGTGGTATAAAATGGAGATCACAAATAGCAGCCCGTCTTTCTCACGATCCGTCGCTTGTTGACACTGGCTGACCCTCCTCCCCTCTGTCCTCTACATACTGTCCAGTCCATGTACACAAAGGGAGTGAAAATAAACTGTGGGTCCAATCATACACACAAAAACACACAGACACACACACATATAGTGGAGCACTAAATCAGTATGGATCAAGAACAAGACCAGGGATCAAACGTGGTATGCACACACACCCCACTTGAGATATATACACTTTTAATGAGGACTGTTTTCCGTGGTTGCCGTCATCAATAGCCGACAGAACATCCAAGTAAACAGAGGTTACTCCCTTTTATGTGACCTCATTCACACTGAGTTTCAGCGTACAGAGAACATACAGAGATCAGTACCCTAATCAATGTGCTGAGATAAATGACAAAACTCCCACAAACTTTTCCACTCCAATCATTCAGGCTATATGTCTACAAAAGGCCTTTTCATCTTAACTTCCCATGAGTCAAATCGCCAAGGTTAAAATGTGTTTTCTTGACAGGGTTAAATAGAATTACACCAACAAAAACCCAAAGGCTACAAGTAACTACATCGTTCAGTCTTTTTAGGCCTTTTCCAGATCACTCATACCATTAAAGCACTTGCAGCTTTACTTTGTCTGATTTCCATCTGCTTGAGGAGGGCTTGATAATTCCTAACAGATCTCGTCTCCTGGCTTTGACGAGTTCCAACAGGGAGTGATGGGGCACAGATCTCTGAAAACCTTCGCCACAGGCTACACGTGGCCATACACACCACTGATACCACAAAGGATCAATTACACTTATTCCCCAACCACAGACACTAGGGAGAAGATGAACTTGCAATGAAAACACTCTGCACTACACCAGAGGTTGCCACTCAACTCTGGAAAGAGAGAGGGACATTCCCATTCAGACCAAGATGTCAGACCCTCAGAGACCACACATGGGTCGTAACAAAAGGAGAAAATGTTCTATGGTCTCCTTGATAGGTGAGGATAATAAATAAGTAACAAAAAAATTAAACATCCTGAAGGAAAGATTTTAATTAGACATCAGATTGGACTATGTTGTATGGTGGCTTTTAGCCATGTTGGTCTGTCAGTTGGTCAGCCCGGTCATTACTTTGGTCCAGACTGAAATATTTTGGCAACTATTGGATGGATGGCCATCAAACGTTGTCCAATACTTTGGTTTTTGACCAAATACCTGACATTCCCATCAGCCTCAGCTGTACTCTGCGTAGTTAATGTAAGCATGCTTCAATGTGAAACTAAGATGGCATTGTCATTGTGTGCATGTTAGCATGCTGATGTTAGCATTTAGCTCAAAGCACCACTATGCCTAAGTACAGCCACACACAGCTGCATGGAGTTAGACACTCTTGTTATTTTCGTGCCTTCATATACAAATAATAGGAAGGAAAAAGTAATTCCCTGTCTGCCTTGTATGGCATTTTTATTCACTTTGCCGAGTGCAAAAACTTCTGAAAGAGCATAGCTGAGTTTGATGTATTCTTAAGCATCAGCATATGTGGATTGCTGGAAAATAAGACCACGCAAACATAAAGAAAAAATTTGATTAATTTTGATTTGATTAGACACTTAAAAGTCATATCAATTCATGATTCCACCCTCAGGAAAAGAGAGAAGAATCAGTTCCTCAGAGGTGAGGTCTGTGCAGAGCTGTTGTGTGTTGAGGTTTGGGAGCTAATCCTGACGTATTAGCTCTCATAGGTCTGCCAGGCCTGGTTTAGTGCGTGTGAGGCTGAACTGGCAGATACTCCAGGAAACAGGGGATCCAGAGGCTTAGTCTGTGAAGCCCAGAGGAGAAGGGAAAATTTCAGTGTCCGAGACAGAAAGAGAGAGGGAGGAAGTCAAAAGCCTGTATCACCACATGCTTCACGGCCCTACTAAAGCACTGCACTGTGTCTACCAGTCCAGCATGGCTAAGACTGACAAAGAGAACTAGACTGAACCACAGCTGTCAGACACCAGCTGTTCGGCAAAGCTTCGCAAAACCAATCTTCGATGTTCAAGCTTTTCCCGAGCTCAAAGTAACACCTAGAAATCATATAGAGAAGCAGCAGGGGTATATGGACCTAAAGGATTCCTATGACAAGCTGCACAGGGTGTATTTTTATCCGCTAGCAGAATGTTCTCTGCTCCCTTAGTCCCCAAATGGTTTTCCCTCACTTCCTGTCTTTAAGGATCTCCAGCCACCAGCTCTCGGTCTCGGCTCTCCAGCTCCACAGAAGGCAACAGCAGAAGTCATTTAACAATGAGAAATGGCCTCCCGGTGGGAAAGTGGATACATGTTCGTATTTAAACCACAGCAACGTCTGAGTTTGATCGGCTCTGTCTAGAGTGCAGATAAATGTGTGCAGGTGTTTGTGTATATGAGTGTCTACATGTGTATGTAAGCGTCTATGTGTGGGTGTAAACATTCACAAGAGAACGACACTGATGCAAAAATCAGCTGGTCAGGCGCTGGCAGTGTCCAAGTGTTTCTGGACTCTTTGAAAAACAGAAACATTTCACATGTTTACAGTCTGTGGATTTCACTCTACCTCGGAGTTAAATACCACATGGGAAACCGGTTATGTTGTTAAAAGCGGTTTTGGATTCGTGCCAGTTCTGCAGAGCGTGTTACATAAAGTGTGAGAATAACTGAGCACTAACTTAAATGAGTATGTTGCCTACTCGTTGATTAGAAAAATGCCAGCAGCAGTGGCAATAATTCTACTTGTCTGAGAATTGCAGACACCGTTGATCATAATACCGCAGCTGCAAAACATGTTGCTGTTTTCCAGACCTCCAACTCACTTTCAGACTGCTGTCTCTATTCCAAAAATTAAAAAAGAGAGAGAGAGACAGAGTGTCTATGCAGAAAGCCAAGCACCCTTCTGTTCATCCATTTTTACTCTTCCCCTCACTCATCCTCAAACATAGACTGCTCATCTTTCATGATATTTATTTCTCTTCTTCTATGCTACCCTAACCAATATGTGAGACACCTACCCACCGCACCAGGACATATATGCAATGAAATATTTCATACTTAAGATTTGAGGGTAAAAACAATAATAATTTATCATGCAGCAAAGTAGGTGGGATGCAATCACTTTAACATTGGAGTCCTATCTGGGAAAGTCATTTAAATCCAATACTTTTACTGTAGAAGTATTTGCTGCAATGCCAAGAGATAAATCCAGACATGCACATACAATTTGGTAACTGTCCTCAACTCTAGCCTGAGGACTGACAGAGACTGTTTACATAAGTCTGCAGCACTGACAGAACTCTTTTAGCATCTGCAGGTCAATCGAGTTAAGAAATTACAGAGTGACATAGCTGATGATGAATTTATCTGATTAGGCATCCGACTTGTTATTACAGGCATTGGACGGAAAATAAATTGTCTGTGCAGACTTTCATGCCAAGGCAACAACCTATCTGGAAAAAAACAACAAAAGGTTTCGTTGTAATATTACAAGAGTTAAGGGAATGTAACACACCAAAGAAACGATGGATAGAAGAACCCACAGAAAACTGTTGCCAAACATGGCTTTTCCTCTCGCTTCCTGCTTGTAGTGGATGTACATTTCAAGGGAAAGAAACATACATCATGTTCTGCTGGCGAGCTATTTTGGGAATGGATTATGTACCGGAGCCCCAAAGGGAGCAGCCCTTTATCATCCAAGTCATTAATGCTGCAGAGAGGCCCCGTCACAGTTTCCAAAAGAAACCAAAACACAGGAGCTCTGCATGTATACTTGGACATTCAAATCCACATACTCACATACACAAACACATGGTATATACAGTAGGTACGACTGCACATTCACGACAACTATATAAAAAATTATAACAATTATATTTGTTTATTTAGCTTAGTATGTTAGCATGCTAACATTTGCAAATTAGTACTAAACAAAAAGTGCAGCTTTGGATGGTGGGAGTGTCCTCAGCTTACCAGGTATTTGCTTATAAATTGAAATTCCGACCTGATGATGGTGGTGCTAGAGAAAAGTTAAGAAATTGCCAAAGTTATTACTTTTATTTTATTATTTTTAGTTATTAGGGGAACACAAATGTGTGTGCCATTTTTTCATTACAATATATCCAATAGTGGTTGAGACATTTCATTCATAACCATAAACATCAACCTCATGGTGCTGAAGAAAAGTCAGGGGATCACCAAAGTCATTAGGATTCATCGCCTGGAAACCATGAAAGAATGCACTTTGTTTCAAATGCAAGTTTCATAATGCAGTGAGTGACGTACTTCATGGCTGAACCATGTTATTTTAAATAGTTATTTCACCCCTCTAGAACAATTTTTATGTCCTCAGGTACACAGATATTGCATTGCATGTCACAAAATCACAGAACTGCCTTTAAAAGTTTACAATCACTGTTTTGGGCAATATATAAAAATAATATTGTGTCGTGAGCTAGTACCTGATTCCCACCCAATGACTCCTTGATGTTATCACCTCTAGTAATGAGCAATTTAGACTGATTTTGTCCGGGGACACAGAAAGTGCCGTAGCTCTTACGTAGGGAGTAAACGTGGCATCATAAGTCAAATGGTGACAGTCCAGCCACAGATCACAGAGGGCAGAGTCGCGCACACAGGAAGTGCATTCCTTCTCCTCACAGTCACTGCCCCCACTGATGTTTGTTTAAACTGGGCTTTGATACAGGGACAGATTACTTCTCCACTCAATTCTTCTCCCACTCCACTCTCACCTCCAATGCTCTAAAACTACCCATCTCTTCTCTGTAACAAGAGGACAGACTGGGACACCGAGTCCTAAGAGACCCATCGCATCTTATCAGCCCCACCCTCTTTTCCTCTGGCAGTGACTCATTGTGTGACCCACTTTACTTCTGTTATCCTAACTGGCTGACTGACTGGCCTGTTGCCTGACATCAAACCGTTCAACACATGATGTATCTGTTCAGCCCAAGCTGTCAAAACCACAGTATTATGCTACTATTGTGTGTCTGTGTGTGTAGAAATGTTATTGTAATTCTGTCGTCATCGTCAGTCAGGATTAGTCTAAATGGACACAAGCTGGCAGTCTGTGAAATGTTCCTGGAAGATAGATTTCTTAGTTTTGGATAAGCTTTCTTTCATTTAAATAATGTCGAGGAGATGATAGGCTCACTGCAGAGGGACTTAGACAAGCTCGGAGCCTCACCTGAGTTTATCAGCCACAAAGATGACTCGACGCTCCAGCAGCAGCGAGGCAAAGACTCGTATCACCTGCCGTACACTGAGGCAACTGAAAAGGCTATCAAAGTCCACATGCTCAAGTCTGGAGTCTGTGGGCCGCCTCAGCTCGATGACCTGAATGATCACAAAATATGTGAAATTTAAGTTATCACAGTTTGTGAATCTAATTAACTAAGAAGATTTCACACAACTGCATAATGAAAGTAGTGAAAGTAGTAGCTCTGACCTCATTTCCTGCACCGGGCAGAAAGGTCTTCACTTTGATAATCTTCCCTGGTGCAGGGAAGGGGGACTCCATCAGACTCCTCATGAAGGGGTAGACCAGGGCTGCTGAGACGCCTCGCCGCCGTTCCACCTCATCCAGGATCTGAACATGGGAACACAAAGCACAGTTTCCTCAACATATTTCAACCAGTTTCATCAATACACACACTTTCTGGAAATCTGTTAATATGAAAAGGAGCCGAGGCTTTTATCCATATTGAATGAATAGCCAAGCATGGCAAAAAAAGTACACAGTCATCAAGATTATTGACCATGGCGACAATTAATGGAAACGTATTGTTGTGCGTTTGAGCACTAGCAATTGTGTGGAACTCAGTAATTATTTTCTGCCTGCTTTGAAAAAAAAAAAAAAGTGAATTTCTTTCCATGTCTGTGTGACTGGAAATTTCCACCCAGTATGCCTGTTGGTCCAAGCTGCCTGCTGTCTGGAAAGTTGATTGGAGAATCAAGGTCCTCCTCATGTCTGTCTGTATGTCTGTCTGTCTGTCTGATATCAGAGGGAGTTGTGTGTGTGAAAGAGACAAACACTGGTCTTCTTTCCCATTTACCATGAAAACATTAACATTCTTTTCATTTGCAGCTGCACTGTTCTCAAAATGAACAGAATTCTCTTCCACTCTCATATCTGTTAAATGCCCTAAAATATCACATGATGCAAAACTAGACAAATTCTGGTAATTCTAAACACTTCACAAATTAAATGCTAAAATCCATCTACTTTGCACACGTATCTGCTTAACTCAACTACTAAATACAGATTTCATATTTGTCATGTTTGCCAGGCCTTTGTATAGCCTTCACAGCCTGGGTATGATTATTATCAAACAATGAAAACAGAGCATATTTGCACTCCGTCTTTGAAATATACCATAGTATCTTATTTTCATGTTATATAGCCGCCACTTTCTTTCAACAGTCTGGACCTACTCACTGTGAATTAATAAGTAATCAGATAAGCCTGGAAAAGTCAAACAGAGTGACAGCTCTGCTCTGTGTTAGCACCACTGAGACAAAAGTGAAGGAAACAATTACTTTGGGAAATCAGGAAGTAAAAAAAAAAAGAAAGACTGAAATAAGGTTTACCAATGAACAGGCGCTCAGCAGAAGGTCTGCTGAAAGTCATTTATTTCAGCTGTGAGATGGGTTAACCACAGCTACAACACCACACACAGCCAGCGTACTGTAGCTGCCTGTATATCAGTACAGTAAGTGTGTATGGTTGTGTGCGTGTGTGTGTGTCACATGCACAGGAAAGGATGAACTCACCGTGGAGAACAAGTCAAAACAGCCCAGTCTGCTGATGACACAGTACACCTCTGGAAGGCGAGATCCTTTCCCAGTCGGCTGCAAGAGAAGGCAATAGACTCATTGAACATTAGTGATAATAGACTTGATGAAGAGACACAATCACAGATGTTCTGTAAACTGTCTACAAACACTTTAAAGGGGTAGTCAACTTGCATGACTGAAGAGACAGATTAAGGTCTCTTTTAGGGCTATTTTTCCGGCTTTAGAAAGCTCCTCCAGAGCCACACAAGACATTATGAGTCTCCTTTCACAAGTTGAATAATTCTCCCTGTGACGAGTAAACTGAATTTGAATTTGATCTGTGAAATTTTAAAGATTGCTAAAAGAACCAGGGCAGAATAGTTAGAAAGGGTTGTTTTTTTTAATCAAATGTGTGGAATTATTATTATTTATTTTGTATGAATAAAGGGTCAGACCATGATAATATAACCATGACCTCTAGAACATGATAATATCATATGTAGATAAGTTGTTTAAATACTGTAGCTGAAGTCTTTAAATCTAGGCTGTGAAAGTCTTTTATGTGGATACCAACTTCCTAAACACAGGTGGTTTATCTGCTCCTGCTGATGGTATCTACCTTCCTCTGTACACTCATAGACCATTATGTGCTTCGAGACCTCAGACACTCAAACACACAGACACAAATGAACACAAGCACTCAACAACCGCCAATCCACTTGTCCATATTAGGTATACAATTTTCTCTTCGTTTCTCCTCCGCTTTTCCAAATGGATGATTAAATCAACTATGTGGAGCTTGATTCAAGTCCTCAGGAATGCTCGCTCACTGCCAACGGCTGGTCAGACAGCAGGAAAGAAACAAAGTTGCTGGAGGAGAGCAGCTCACCTCTTCCTCTAGCTTCATTAAAATCCGCTTCCATCAAGATGAATCTCAGATCGACAGAGCAGATCCAGTTTTAAAACATTTTTGTCTGGTCAAACTATTCACGAAACGTCCGTCTGTCATCCAGCACATACACATACACGTACACAAGGGTAAAGACACTCCCAGTAAACTTCTGAAAACATACACACTGTCGTACTCAGAAATACCAAATGGCAAACAAAATCACCACCACATTCACAGAATCCCACACAATCATACCCTCTACCCGCACGCTACATGGGAAGCTTAACAGAAACAAAAACATCAAAGCGCTCTGCGGCCTCATTATGAAGGAGAAATGCTTCACAATGACAAAGTTAAGATTTTTCATGGTTTGTCTTTGTTTTGCATTTCCTGAGAAACTCTCATTAAATTAAATGAGTCAATCCCAACTAGCTTTTTATCATAAATGATTACATTTTTGTGCACTTTATGACTATGACTGAATGTTTGCAATTATAGTTAGAGTTATAATAATAATAGTAGAATTGAATGCAGCTACTGTATTTCTTTATGTTCATTTTAAGATAGATATGTGATTATTTAAATAAATACTTTGTAATAACAGATTCACATTTTTATTATTAAACCACTTTCCTGCATTTTTGTAGCAACTTATCTTTTTTCAACCAATTCTGTCCTGAGCACAGTTTTTCTTTTTCTCTCTTTTTGGGTTGTCTTTTTTGCTTTATACGTTCTACCTCTTGCTGCCACAGTGGATGGTCGTGTAACACATCAATGGCCCCACAGGACCACCCTTTCACGTGTTCACATAAAAAAGGTCTGTCAACAAACAGGGCTCAGCAGGGTGTGAACAGGGAGCAGAGGATGAGGGGGGACGGTGGCTTACCAGCAGGCGTCTGCAGTACCCAAACCTCCTGCTGCCATCCTCTCCAGTCAACATAAAGGAGAAGGTCTCACTGTAGCACAAGACAAATGTATACACAGCAGAATTGACACAAAGACACATTAACATGTAGACAATTGTACGAAAGACGCCACAGAGTTGCTTTAGAGGACATGTTGGAGAAATCCAATGTTATTTAATTAATTCCAGGGGCTAAGAGTCAGGATTTTGAATAATCTTTTTTTCCCATCGTTCTCTCACAAGCCCCACAACTTTATGCAAGTGCAATTCTACATGGCAGGAGTACCCTTTAATAGACCAGCTAGTACAACATAATTCAGCCATACCTGGTGTACTCAGACACAGGACTCCAGTCCTTTGCATCTGGAAAACAGAACTGAGGAATGGCTTTGAGTCTCTGCTCGGCCTCCCGCATCTGCTTGGTGGGTCTCTCTAGCTGTAAGGGGAGAAGAGAAGAGAGAGAGGACAGGAGTTTCAGTTATTTAATTCTCCTTTAGATAACTTTGTACTACATATTTAAAATCTCCATGGAGTGAGCATATCGGAGTGAGCGTATCAGAGTGAGCGTATCAGAGCGAGCGTATCAGAGCGAGCATATCGCCTGGCTGGCAGAGATATACTTCTCCCAAATCTTAAATAACTTTAAAATGTATCTTTGACCAACTAAAAACACATCCCTGCCACTAATCCTGGTTATTTTTAAATGTAAACAGGCTCTCAAGACTCCACAGGCTGTATGTTGTAAATCTTAATTACCAGTACAGCTTTAAATTGTCAACAACCTGCACAATTAAGTGTGAAAAGCTCACAGAAATATTGTTTTTAACTTAAATTTAAATAAAAAAAAAATTGCATGGGTTACTGTCCAACATAATCGTCAAATTTTCAGCATTCACACTTTTGTAGTGACTATGACTAAAAGCTTAGAGTGGGAAAACTCTGGAAAGCCTACAGTACGTAATCAACTCTTGTCAACACTATTTCTAGATGACACTGGCCCACTTTATCCATGGCATTAACATTTATATCTTCCAGACTGTCTAAATATGACTTAACTGGATTACGTTTGCTTGTGAAAATCAACAGTTCCTCTCCATCATTGTCTCCAATTGTCAAGACAATATTAACTGTTATGGTCTCTGTCAAGACAGTTTTGAATGTTGCTGCCTGTGCTGCTGACACATATTAGATGTGGTGTCTACGCTCTGCTGTTGTCCAGCTTGAGGGCTAACTTTTTCCCAGACCATGCCATAGATTTTAAGCTAATAAAATGTTACATTCGTTTTTTCCGTCCTCCGAAGTCACCTGAACAGACTAACGAACAACAGCAAGTGTATTTAAAACCGGTCCCTGGAGTAAGTAAGGGACTGTCAGGCTTTCACCTTGGGGAACTGGTAGGTGACCTCTGGGGAGTAGGAGTTTTTGCTGGGTTTCTTTTTCAGAGAAACAACCACAAAATACTCAAAGAGTTCTCTCTCCTGCCACTCAATGAGCTGCAGCTCCAGCGTGCGGTAGCTGGGGGCCCGTCGAAGGATGGACTGCAGTTTCAACAACCTCTGGGTGTGAGCTAAGGAGGGAAGCAAACGTCAATACATAAAATTCTCTGTGCAAACAAATGTAAATCTAAGGCTCACCGGGTATTAACCTTCAGCCAGCCAGGAAATTAAATGTTGTACTTATGGGTGTAATTCACTTCGACCGAAAGATTCCTAACATTGAATATCTAAACATATCATAAATGTTTTATTATTTTCTGATAATCCATGCATATGGCAAATGTTTCAGTTAGAATTCTGTGGTCTGTCCGGTCACACAGGTTCACTCGTTAAATATAAACTGTTGCAAATAAATGCTGTGGTCACTCACCTTTGAACCTGTCATCAGAGTCACTCTCACTCTCACTGTTGTCATCTGGAGGCAGACATGAGACAGACAAGAAGGTTTTCTACGGGTCAGAGGGCAATTTCACAAACCTGTGTTTATGTTACGAGAGGGACACAGCAAGAACTCCACGTGGGAGGCTGAGACGCAAATATTTACTCACTTATCTGGCCAGTGGATAAAGGGAATAAAGAGAGCCCTTACCTCTCAGAGATGCAGTCTCAACATTGGACATGGACAGCTTCTTCAGCCTCTTCTTCCCACGTTTAGTGCAGTAAATGGAGTTGATCCTCTGGACCAGCTGTAAACAGAGGAAAGGGGAGATTCTCTGTTGGGGGATCTGAAGTGTTGTTTCTTTTGATCCTAAGTATAGAAGAAGTAGAGGGGTGTTCCTGGCCAAAGGTAATACTTTACTGTGCTTTAAGGGTTATTGAAAACCTTCAATGCCAGTTCTTGAGAAAAAGTTCCACAAGGGACACCCAAGCAGTAATAACGCGCATCGAGGCACTATATTCTTTTATAGTCTTTTCCAAACAGAGGAATTGCAAGTGATCCAGAGCTGCTCTGACTTGGTCCCTACAGAAACCTAAGCTGGTCTGTGAAGCAGTAAAGGAAAGAGAACACAGTCAGAGCTCTGCAGGGACTTAGTGCAGGTGTTTGTGTAGGATCTGGTAGTGTGTACCTTGGGGATTCTCCAGTGCCGGTGTGAGGCCAGGGTATCACTAGTGCTACAGAGGCTATCATCCGTCAGCAGGCCACAAGGTAACGTAGATACACCCCGCTGTGAGAGAAGCAGCATTTCATCATGGCTGTAGCGTTTGGACAACTGTGACAGGCGGTGGCTCTTCCTGTCACTCGGACCAGGGAGGCGAAGAGACTGGCTACTGGGTTTGGAAGGCAACTAGTCAGAGAGGAAAGAAAAGGCGAGGGTTATTATAATCCATTCATTCATTCATTTATTTATTTATTCATGCTTACAGTTGTTATAAATAGATATCCCAGTGCATTCATTAAAGATAGTTTCCTTTAAGTTATAATCCTTAAAGGGACAGTTTACCTCAAAATCAAAAATACATACTTTCGCTATTCTTTTGCTTTGAGCACCACAAGTCGAGTGCCTCTGGGCAATATGATGGGACTATGATGTAGTCCCATCATATTCGAGCGAGGGCAGACAACTCTATAGCCGATATCTCCAAAAATATGTATTTTCGATCTTGGGATGAATTGTCCCTTTAAAATGTGCATGAAGATATTAATTAAGGTTTAAAATGAAATAGTGTCAGTAGCAGGGTCCACCATTCATGCGCTGGATTCAATTTGTCTTCTAGAGCACAAAGGATTTACAGGACTGATTCTTTCTTTACCGTTTACTGCTCACTCTATTCACACTGTATCAGAGCTGCATTAAGCTACTGCCGAAGCAAGCCGAGCATTAAAAGCATGAAAAGCATTAAAAGCATTCAACCAAGGGAGCACGGGATGGCTTTTATTGTGAAGCAGTCACAGGAAATGCACTGTGAGCACCAACTCTTTAAAAATGTGCCTCCAAAACAAGACATGGTCACTTTAAACTGATGAGTTTTAAAAAATTGCAAGAAGCAATGGAACAAGAAGAAGCAGCCACAGTGAGCTGTTAGATGAAGAGCTGCAGGTGACAGGCTACACCTCAACCTCCGCAGAAAAGTAACAAACCTTGCTGTGCCCGGCTGTTGTGTGGTAAACAATCTTATTTCAGCTTGAAATACGATTGCAGTTTCTCATGGTATGATGGAAAAAATCCAATTATTTAGTAAAACAATTTGTTTGTTTGGCTGCACTGCAAACAGATACAGCATTTGTTCTTATGTTATATTCCTCACAAAGTAGCTGCTCAAGGAGTATTTGCTGGAGTAATAAATATAGTATATAAACCACACTTGTTGTTACCACCAGTAACCATGGGTGACAAGTGTTTCTGCGTTTAAGTGGGGAAGCAAAATGTGCAGACGGGCCTTTCTGTGGAGAATCACCAGGTATAAACATATCAAACTGTATCCTGTAGCGCCACAAATGAGGTGTGAGATTCTTTAAAAGATCTTGTCCAGGCACTGACAGGGAGGGAGGGGGGGGGATTCACGTCACCACTGGAAAACATGTGTGTTATGTTTACTACAGGAAAACACATCAGTGCTGTTGATCCCAACAGGCTCATGACTTACCTGAGGTGGAGAGTTCAGCTTCCTGTCCATGGTGGTCCACGATCTGTTGCTCTCCAGCAGACATGACTTCCGACCCAAACTCTTCCGCTTCAGGTCAACATCCTCATACGGGTTCTCCTTCTCTGTCGGGATGAAGTAAGTATTCAGTGTAGCTCAACTACAATGTCAGCAATAAAGCTGGCAACTGCCCGTAGACAAAGGGTGTTTGTGACGGACAAGACAGATCCGACTGTGGGGTCAAAAAAGGTGAACAGGGCACAGTAAAAGGTATCAGGGGCATAAGAGGGCCTCTCTATGGTTAGTCTGAAAAAAGATGAGTCATGAAAGGTAAGTCAAAGGTCACTCCAAGCTGTCTCAAGTGAACTCCCTTTTTTCAAAACAGTTGCTGTTGGCACTGGGCCCCACAGGCCCCAGTGGGCCCAGCTGAAACTTCTGGAAACAACACTGCTGGTGAGTCACTGTCCAGGCATGTGAGACATCATCTTCTTCTTAGACTTGCACTTAGAAGAGTTACATTTTATTGTTCAAATATATGATTAGAATAATAATTGATGCAATACATGTTTTTTTTTCTCTTAACTCTTACTGATGTATATAATTGTAAAATATCAAGAATATGGAAAAGGAAAACATCTTTAACCGTGTGCCATGAGTTTAAACATATTGTGGAATTTCAAATAAGGCACAAACAATAAGGTTTAAATACCACAGTTAATACTCTGGGTAAGGTCTCGAATGTTAATGGCTTTTAAGAACTTAATATTGAAAATATTTGTATCACTGTACCTCAAGGAGTTACAATAAGCACAGACTTTTCTACTGCTCTGTAGATGTACTTCAGTGAATAAATGACAGCAGAAAAGGAAAGAAAGTGAACATTACAGAGTTCTGCACAGCTCTCACTGATGTCACCTGGCAGAGGGCCAACTTCAATAAAGAGAAAACTTGTGTAACACCACAGTCCATGTCTATTCAGACATGTGCTCTGAGAATAGCTTTTTGGCAGGGTCTGAAAAAGGTTGTGAGAAAGTGAAGAAACCACAGCGAAGAATAAAAACAGAGCCAGATGGCGTCGAAATGCATGAGGGGAACTTTTAAAAGAAAGAAAAGCAGTGTTATCTGTCAATAGAAAGGGAAAGAACCAAAAAATCTATTTGGTAGCTGTGTTCCTTCTTCCTGAGTACATTAGTGGAAAACCCGATGAACTCAGCATCTCAAATAGTGAATGTGTGTTTTAAAAACATCCAAGTTAACCTACAGGCAGAGCTTTGTTCAGTTACCTATTTTTAGGTTAATTATTGAACCTGTCTGGGGTAAAGACACACACCTAAGCACACATATGCAGACAATGCACACTGCTAGGGATCTTAGGAGCGTTATGATGTGTTGCACAGTACATTAGCGCACTGGAGTGATTTTCTGTGCATCATTAAAGCTGAGGAGCAGAATAAGAGGGCTAAGTGTGACCCCACGCTGTGCTGCAACTCCATTAAACTGAAGCAATACTGTAATGAGAGCCTGCTGGGAAATGATATGTCTGCATAGCTGCTTATGTACTGGAGGGTACTAATCTACTCCTCTGATTACAAACATCCAGATCTCTCTGTAGCACACCCCCAGACACACAGTATTATGCAGGGAGTGGACACACCTCGGCTGCTACACTGCGATTGTACATTTATGTGTACACAATGCACTCTCCGGGCAGGGCGAGGCACAGAACAAACTATACCCAACAACTTTAGTATCAGCTCACCCTATAAAGTGGACTAGTTACAGCATAGTAGCACCGGTGCTCAACCACTGAGCCGTAAACAGAAATGTGCATACAGTTACAGTTTTGTAAAAACATTTGGCGGCACCACAAACCATGCATCACGTCCATCATGAAGAGAGTCTGCTTGTGACCACACTGGAGAAAATGCGTAGGAGAATGCACATGTTGTTGTTTTACACCAAAGAATAAAAGAATCACAGGTCCAAGCGTGTCTGTCTAAGTGTAACCTAAATCAAATCGGAATCACTCACAACCTGTACCAGATAGTCTTCCAGATGTATTCACCAGAGTAAGATCAGACACCACTTCAGCAAACTACGTCAGCGAAGGTAACAACGATGGGACTTTGAATGAATGAAACCGGGACTCTATGATACAGACAGCTGAATCATAGTGTTAGCACAGGGTGTGATTCATCTGCCTGGTAACAGATCACTCATTGGTACTCCATTTATCAACTCCACTAGTCAAAAGCACTTAAAACAGTCCCCTAATATCGCAATCAATCATTCAATTGTATTAACACTGTAGCATGGGTTACAAACGACTTGCACTCTTAAGGTAAACATCTGGCATCAAGCACAGGTGCCAAAAAGCACAATGGTGTGAGTGAATGTCCTATCAAAGTGTCTCCAAGATGTCCTGGGGAAAATGTGTGGGGACTTCTGGTTCTCTGTATCAAATTCTAGTTAAAATAGGGGCGCAGAGGGATCAAAACGTGGCTCATTTACAGCTGTGACTGCTTCTCACATAGATCATGTGACCTGAAATCCACTGCACAGTGGTAGTGGAAACCACTGTTCTCCTCCATTAGGACTCCAGCTTGAACGCTTTGTTGCAAATAGCTGGAGCAATTTCAAACTTACTCAGAGACAATGTCTTTGCCAGGAACATAACAACATTGGCAAAGATTGCGTCACCAAACTGAAAACTCCACATTCAGAACTGGATGAACAAGAGAAGGCTTTGTTAGGATTCGCATGAAAAGCAGTCATGCCCTTACAATCTCTCTGAGATGACTGCACATCCTTAGATTAAAAACACTGATCACTGATTTCAGAACAATGCTGCTTCTTGTAGAAATACCAAGTAAGTAATGTGATATTAAGCCTCTATTTGGTCACTGAGCATTTATCAAGAAAAATATTTGAGTGTGAAAACTTTTTATTGAATCTGAAATCCAAGCTTTTCATCATGAGACTTTACTCACACTGACACACATCACACTGTGGGAAGTGGCAATTGGAATGGGCTGAAAGCTTGGGGTCATTTGCTAGTGGAAAGGAATGTGGTTGCACGTCATGCACACATTATCGCAGAAAACATTTGAGTGGATATTGTGTACAGTGAGATACACAACATGTCGCTTGCAAGGTTGCAATGTGAAAGGATGATGCACTACAATCAAAACTTAGCAACAAAATTTACAAATTTGCATATTAAACTCTGAAATTTGTAGTCAAGTCAAACAGGATAATGTCAACATAATTATCTAATGTAATATAAATAGGATTTCTAAAGCAAATTGATTCAAAGTAATGAAAAATACAACCCATTAGTGAAAATCATAGGCTTAGATAACAGCAAACTAATTGCACATGACTCCTATGACCTACGAACACTTGTAAATTGTCATCCTACCGCAAAAAAAGCTGCAGTTTCGCCTGAGATCATTTTCAATGCTTCATCTACACTTTTGCAAAGCATCTGTCAGTTACATATGTAGTATCACTGTCTCGCTTATAACCAATGTCTAAAATCACATGATTTCACAAGTATAAGTTGCATTAAACTGCATAAGTGCTGCAACTAGCAATTATTTTCATCATCGATTAATCTAAAGGTTATTTTCTTGATTAATCAAATTATTGTTTGGTCCATAGAATATCAGAAAATAGTGAAAAATGTCCCAAAGCTGAAGTTCATATATTCAAATGCCCAGTTGTCCAAGCAAAAGTCCAAAACACAAAGATATTCAGTTTACTATCATATAACACTAAGAGAACCAGCAAATATTCACATTTGAGAAGCCAACACCTGAAAGAGTCATTCTCCATAAAAAAAGTGACTTACACTATGAATCAATTATCAAAACAAGTTGTTATGAATGAATACATTTTCTGTCGATTGACTAATCAATATATCATTTCAGCTATAAACTATATTCAAGAGTGACCCAGGTCAGACAGAAAACCAATGAGAGTTCCAGTGACATAAAGGTCATCTCTACTGTTTTTAAAGCAGTGTGCTTACCTACTATGTCCTCATAGGTATTCTCCTCTAAAGTGCTTTTGGAATTGGGTCGACTCCGTGTGCCTGTGGTTAGTGTGCCATTCTCTTTAGGCGGCAGACTACTCGTAGCATCCTCCGACTCATACGACTCTCTGGGAAGAAATGAAGAAAGTCAAAAGAGACCATGATGGGGAAAGATGTTAAGAAAGTGGAGACAGATAAGAGTAAAGAGAAAAAGTCCAGATAGCGTTAAAAATAGCCCAGATAGCCATTTGTACTCCTTAATCCACTTGCCGACGAAAAGCAGAGAAAGTCTAGAGCTTTGTCTTATCCCTTAAAAAAACTTAAATGATGAGCCTCTAATTATAAAACACACAAAAACAGAAACACCAGGATCAGCATGTGCCTCTAATCACAAGGAACTTCCTGATAAGTCACAAGTAAACATGCAGATATCTTACTATTTCTGAGCGTTCTCTGCACAGTATAAAGTTCACATCACATGTCGCAAGGCACTGCAGAGGACCTTTGCTACATTAGTGCAGGGACCTACAGTATGCTCATGTCCGCCATCGACAGCTTGTGGCTGTTAAGCTTCGTCTGAAAATTGCTAGAGGCACAGGAATGTTAAACACAGAGTCCAAGGGATGAACATTTAAGGATTTCATCCTCATTTTACAAAAGGACAATCTGGAGAGGCCCCACCCTCAAACTGAGTCAGCTGAGCCTGAGAACTTTAACTTAAACAGCAAATATTCAAGCAACAAAGGGGCGCAATAATCCAGTTTCACTGGTTTCTATAGGGTTATTTATAGAGTATATTCAGTTACAGGCAGATTAACAATAAACATATTTTTGATTAAGAATATACTGTGGACTTGCTAGGAGTGGGTTTAAATTGCCAAATCTTTTTAGGGACCAAAGTGAATTTCAGTAAAGAATCTGACATTTCAAATAGTCCGTACAATGCATCAGTTAGTTTCTGAGCTGCTTTTATGATTTCCAGTAGGCATTTACCTCATAATAAACCTATGATGACAATATTCAGTTTGATTAGATTAGGAAAGCAGGGATGACAATAACTCAATGCTATAACAAAACAAAACTACTGTTACTATTCAATGGTCTTCTGGGAAACATAACAACTGATCTCCACTTCAAATCCTCACTGAAGATAACCAGAGTTGATCGCTTCAACACCACAATCAGACACACTAACCAACAAAGCAAACATTTGACCTGAGATCCAAATTCCTCAAAAGACTGAGATATGTAACACTCTTCTAACATTTCTGAGGAATCTAAAGAAATCCATAGCACCCAATGAAATAAGGATACATATAATAAAACATTGAATTTTACATCGACTCTCACAGATAAACTGTCTTTAGACATAGGCACACTGATATTCTCACCTGTCCTGTGGTCTCACTGGGGTGCTCCCCTCGGTCTTTACCATTCGAGTCACGCTGGGTGCAGGGGTCGAGGGCAGCGGCGGGGGAGACTCATGGGCTCTGTTTGGAGGTAGTCCATTGGCCGGCGACACGCTCTTCTGGTCCCGTTTGGCATCGTACTCAAAAGTGCGTTTGGGTTTAGGTAAGGGGTTGACTGGTGTGCCGACAGAAGTCTGTTGGCCCGGTGGCTCTGGACTCTCAGACCTGGCTGAGCTCACACTAAACCTTTGTCTGAGTTTACAGAGCTTATCAGGCACCAAAACAGCATCTGGTTCTGTGGCCACTGAGCAAATGCTGCTGCGCTTACTGGTGCAAGTACTGTCCAAGTCGTCACCTATCACAAAAGACTTTTGTCTTGTCTTGTCTGGAGCGTAGCAATTACTCAGATACCGTGGAGGGGATGGGCTGGGATTCTCCTTCAGGGCTTGCTCTATCTTTTGTATCCTGTTGAGAACCGCTGACTTCTCCTTCCGAGCAGACAGGGAACGTACATATGTTCCTGAAGACTCTGTCTTCCCTATCCTTTTCTGGAAGCGGCCTAGGCCATCTTTGTCAGAAACCCCTTCCTCTTCCTCTGTGTAGGAGCATTCTGAGAAAGCTGTGCTCATCCTGCGAACCCCCTTAAAGTCAAACGTTTTCTCGCTACAAGGAGAAGAGAGCAGGCTGGGGCAGCCCTCACTTCCCCCTACACGCTCTCCTCCTCTTTTATCTAGACACAAGCTCATCCTAGGCAGAGCCACCCTTCGGCACTCCCATTCTGAGATCTTTTTGCGGATGGTGGTGGGGGTAACACCTGCTACCGAGCGGGTGAGGGAGAGAGTGCGCCTGTGGCTTTGGTTAGAGGAAGGTCCCAGTGAGAGTGTGCTCCAACTCAGGGGCCTACCGTTTAGTCCATCTCCCGGAGAGTGTTCCCCTTGTTGCTCCGGGAAGCCTTGACCTTCCTGGCAGGACTTGGTTTGAGCCTGAGGCTTATAGATGGAGAGCCTGTTGTCCAAACAGCTGATGCTCTTTGACTTGGTGAGGCGGCCTTGAAAGTCAGCCTCACCAGTGAGAGATGCACCACTGCGCAAGGTAGCGGTCTTGCTGTTCCAGCCAGCACGTGCCAGGAACCTGCCGTCAGTCCTGAAGTACCTACTCTGCTTCCCAGAGTTTTCCCCGTCACTAAGGAGAGGCTGCTGGCTCTGCCCCTGACTGGCAGCGAGAACAGGAGCCGGTGATGTAGACTGGCACCTTTAACGAGACAGAGAAAGGTGTGAACAAACATTGTAGACATTGAAAGGATTCTTTGAGGGGGGGGGGGGGGGGGAATGAAAAAAAACAAAAAGAAGCAAATCAACAAAGCCACTCAACCCTGCAGCATGAAAAGTACCAGAAACTCGATGGTAAACAGATGGGGGAAAAACTGTCAGGAATCAGTTGAAAATTCGGAATTCATTCGCAAGATCAAAGACAGAATGAAAACTTGAGCCACTTATTAAGAAAAACCACAGGAAAGTATTCTGTCTTTGGCAGCATGAGATTAAAATGAAGGCCAAAGGAAATACAGGCAACATTAAAATGTCACTGTGGATTTTTCCACATAATTAAAATAAAAAAACACAGAGAGCAGTGTGCCAAGCGAGATTTTTTACCACGGTCTTACCTGTGAAAGTCTCACTACTCCTCTCTGATCCTTGCAGCCTTTTTTCTGAAGTGATACTGGGTGCTACAGTTGTCCCACGCTCACTGCTGACTGTACCACACACACACACACACACACGTGCTTTCTCAAGCGGCTCACTTCCTCTAAGATTTCCAAAGAGAGAAAGTTTCCCAGTCGAAGCCCGATACCGTATTTCTCATAATCTTTCAGGAACCTTGTCATGACTTGGAAGCTAGCTGAGTCTTGCGAAAGTGAAACGTTGGGAGATCTGATGTCACAGCCATGGTTAGAATAACAAGCCTTATGGGAGGAGGAAGCTGAGCGCTGCGGACTGTGATCCAACAATGCAGGTTAGGACAGATCTCTCTTCTCACCTACCTGCCCTTCTCTGGTTTCATTCCTCCGGCTCCAGGGAGGGCAGACTTTTTACAACAGCTAGGAACCGGCAAGCTGCAAGCATGATGGATGCATCTTATCTGATTTCCCCTGAAGAAATAGGAGATTTTGAGACAACGATTCATGTCTTTCAATTTTAATGCTGGTTTGTAGTATTCTGAAGTCCAATAAATAGATTTTTAAACACGCAATACTTTGGATACTGAACTAATATATCACTAAAAAGGATTTCCACCAGCTTGGTTAAGGACATTTTTTTATTGTTTATCGATGCACAGTATTTGTCAAACATAATAACTTAAAAGTCCTTTAAAGACATATTATATTTTATTACAACTGTGCGTCATTCATTATCTGTTTATACACCAGCCTCCACTCATATTTCTTATTATCAACTACACTAATAATAATAAATATCTGCATTCAATTGTGTTATCAACGATGTATGTATGTTTATACACTGCTCATCTCCTAAACAGGGAGACTTAAAACAAAAGACTTTTCTCTTCAGTAAACCTGCCGTGTTTGTCTCACAAGACAATACTGTATGCTCGTAATTTAGGTTTGTTTCAAACATCTCTATATTACCTTACTCAAATTGTTAATGTAATTATAAACTAACTTGAGCTTGAAAAGAGTTTAAGATCAACTCAAATCTCAGGTGAAATGTCTATCAGACTTCTATATATGAAACCCACAATAAGTCAAACAGACCGTATATGTTTTAATGAAGAAAATACTTTTTGAGCCCACTCTGATATTAATCAGCTGTCAAACATAAGACATGTTGCAGTGCTTCAGGAGGGAGCTATCAGAATTTGTCTGGCACATAAAAATCTGACTGGTTCGCTGCTAAAACTCCCAACTCAACTTCTGCCAAGGAGTATGGCCAGGGAGGGAGCGCAGTTTCTGAAGCTAAGTATCAATGCGAATGTTTTAGTAGCAACCAGACCAAACACTCAGTAATACTACTCTAATGCCAGTAACAGTACAATTTATTGAGTTAATGACAGCAATTTAAATTTTTGCTCTTTGGTTTGATAGCAGCCAGGGTTGAAACACGGGGAGGATCCCCCGCTGTCTCCACGCTCAAAACATGACTTCACCAATGTGAGAGTAAACAAGCAATAAAAAGATAATATAGGAGAAAAGATTCAGACTGGCTGTGTTGTGATGTAGTGCTTTGTGAAGGTTTCGAGGGGACTACATCTATGTTTCATTTTATATATATATATTAGGGGTGGGGGAAAAAATCGATACAGCATAGTATCGCGATATTTTGCGTGGCGATATTGTATCGATACACGGACACCAAGTATCGATCTTTTATTATATAAACTATCAAAAAATAAATAAAAAATCCTATTTTGCTGCAATAAAAATGATTGAAGTGAGATGAACAGACTGAAAACTTTATCTTATTAGATAAAACATGTTGACACAGTTTTCCTTTGGGGACATAATTTGAAGTTGAAAAAAGTAATAAATCGCAATATAGGCCTATGTTATCGCAATACTCAGAATATCGCAGAGTATCGTGATAATATCGCAGTATCGGGATAATATCGTATCGCGGGACCTCTGGTGATTCCCACCCCTAATATATATATATACACACACATACATACATACACACAGACACACAAAGTGCACTACATAGTGACTTTGAACTGAATCTTTACAAACTTGTAAACAGATTATATACTGTGACCTCAGATATGGTAGATTGCATATATGTATTAATATATATAATATATAATATATTTTTTAGTTTTTGTGTACTTTGTATCACTGCACTTGAATTTGTTATTGTTTATCCGTTTACATCGCTGCAGATTTAAATCAACCGCAAAATTAAAGCCACCAAATAATACAGATTAAATAATATTATGGTGAAATTAAATGTAGACTGCAAAATGAAGACTTTTTGATTACACGCAAAAAGAAAATATGTGCACAATTTTTGTCTATTTAGGGCTTAGGTACTTTTAGGGGTTCTGGTGGTCTGGATCATGCTTGATCATGCTCAGAAATAAGTCCAGCCACACATACAGTACAGTACAAAGGGCTAGATGCCAGTCACAACCTGGCCTCTGGCTTTCACTCAGGCATTCTAACCACAGGCCACTTCCTGTTACTGACCAGGATGAAGTGAGGAAACTGCTCACACAAACAGCACTTCTACTATTATAATTCAACAAATGTTGGCTTTTTCATCAATCAGCACTCACTAATACATTGTCACAGATAAAACTGTGATAGTTACACATTTAATTCAGAGTTTTGGGGTTTTTATTTGCTTGGATATCAGTAAATAAGACAGATTCAGTGAATGTGCATATCTGGGTGTATAAAACTCTAGTCACAGTAGAGTGAGTCGTCTCTCTCACAGCCTTGTCAGCATGTTTGTGACACTAGAGCACCTTTCTGGGCTTTTATAGTTACCTCAATATTTTAGGTGCAGAGAATTAATTGAAATTATTGCCTCACAGAAGATCACAGAAGAAGAGCACACCCTCATATTTTTGTTTTGTATTAGTTTCTTTCCACCATGTTACTGCATGTTGCCATGTGTACCACTTGAGGCTACACAGTTTGTAATAGTAACTTGTCCTAGAAACTCCTCCCTGAGTGATCTCATAGTTTAAGCCGCAGTGATTTTCAACCACTGTGCCATGGGAAAATGTCCAATTTCCCTTTATCGATATTAAGAAATAAATAATTTATATTATTTAGTTGCTGCAAATAATTTGCCATTGTTGAGTGTCTGAGCCTGCAATATAGTGGCTTGCTAAGTAATTAAATAGTCTTCCATGCCAGTGGGTAGCAGTAGGTAGTGCAATAATTACCGTGTTAATTTAAAGACAGTGGAATTAAATGATGTGAGGGAGAGGTTGCGTTGACAAGACGAACAGCAATGGAGAAATATTTGAAAAGGAAAAATGCAGACTCTGAACTGGGCCCTGGACAAAATTCTAACCCAGATGAAAAGCCTCGTGTGAGTGGTGGTCAAAAGAGGCAATACAGCGAAAGTTATCTTTCTTTTGGATTTCACCGGGGATCCGACTGCACACTATCCAACAGTGCCATGGTCCCAAGCAAGCTTAAACTTTTTTGGTTGTTAGTGTGCCGCGGGATCTGTTTAATGTAAAAAAAAAGTACCGCGGCTCAGAAAAGGTTGAAAAACACTGGTTTAAGGGAATGCATTGTTGAGCACAGCACTATCCACTAATTTTCTCTCCATTTGTTAAAACACAGGCGCTGCAAAGCATCTTTGTGATCTGTAAGAATCGAGGCTAACAAGAGCCCATGAGGACAGCAAGCTGTTAATAAGGCTCTACTACAATGACAATTACATTCATCAAAAGAGGCTGAGGTTAAACGCACAATTATCATATTAGAGTAATGCAGTCGGAAGGATGAGAGAGCTTTGTGCTACTGTGATTAGTGTTTTCCACACATTTGCATTCTCCAAGTTTACCTTGGGAATAGTGGTGAACGTGCACATTTACCAGCAAATGAATGCCATTTATCTTAAACCTAATATTTACATTATGATTAACATTTGTGCGAATTGCCACTTCCACTAGGACTAATTTACACCGCAAGCAATTACAGAACCAAGCTGCCACAGGTTACTTTATGTTTTGTGATGTATGAAGTATTGCTCTGTGTGTTTACCACCACTGCCTCATCAGCACAGAAATTAGGTAAGAATAAGAAACACTGCCAGTCAAATAGTAGCATTATTATATATTAGAATATGGATAAACAGCACCATTTCTAACAACCGTCTTGCTCAAAATCAGCCATCAGACTGTCACAAGGTGGTGCGACAGTGTGAACACAGACTACATTTCACCGCTGTGAAGTACAATGATCATGTGTAACTACTGTATGCGAGATGATAACAGTCTGCCTGTTCCTAAGAACACTTTCTGGTTAAAGAAAATGGACAGGATGAAAAATTGTAAGAACGAATAATTCGACATATCACATATCATTCCCAAAGTTTGTTTTTCTCTCCCAGCAGGACACTGTCAGCTCTCAACATGCTAACACAAGCTTCGGCTCACTACTCACAGCACAGAGTTGGATGGGGCCCTTGTCCAGGATACAGGATTGTACTTGCAAAAGCTTTGGAAGTATTATCATGACAGACAATCAACAGCCGTTCTTTCCCACGAGTGAAAAAACCCCCCAGAAAAACTAAAAGAGTGCATGTAGAAAACTTTGTTTCTCCTTCAGTCAGGAAGCTCTGAAACCATGTGACGTGGACATGCACATTAACTACTAGCCCACCCCTGATGTCCCAGATGTCACTGACCTGTCGGGGATGTCCCGGGGAGCTTTAGCCCCTCCTGCTCGAGGCACAGCCTTCGAACCCTTGTTGGCCGTCATGTTTGTCTGCAAACCGCCCACTCACCTGATGGACAAACACAAAGATGTGAAACATTTTAAAAAGCTGCAGCATTCAAGTAAATAAACATGAACTCGTACTGTAGACTAAACACCTCTAAGGTCGTTTGGGTTTGTCAGTGAATGTTATTGGGAATTTAGACCACAAAATATTAAATGGAATTCAACTTAGTAGATACACAAAATGATCCAATCCTGTCTTGAGCATGGAATTAAATGTAGTGCCACATCAAATACAAGATGGCCAACATTCCTGTAAGACCACAACTGCTTAACTTTGGCATCAAACTATAAACACAGATTCCAAAAATAACAATGTTGATCACTATAACCCTATAACAGATATTAGCTTGACTTGACACAACTTTTAACACTCTCAACCCTATTGTTGACTTTTCTCAATCCCAAATTAACATGAGAGGGGAGAAAGGTAGTTGTTGAGCTTGACAACTTTTCGTAAAAGCAAGCTAATAAAAAATCCTGCAAAGCCCTCCACTACACCACAGATGCCATGTTCAATCTTCAGTGTTAACATGGCAGACGAATTGTCATAACCAACACAGCATGTAGACTATGATGTGCCAGAAAACTCTGATGCTTCGGGCACAGCTTCTGCTGCACTTAAAAAAATTATATTTAAACAAGGTTTGGATCATAGCCATAGAGGAAATTTATAGCAGCCAGGTGAATAATGGCATAAACCTGGAGAAGAATGCAGTCAAAATTGACCAGTTGGATGTGTGCAGGGACAGTAGTTATATTGCAGGTGCCTGATGTTTGTTGTGCATGATTTAAATCAAGGTCACCACCATGGATCCCAGTTTATCTGGCACTGCACTTTGTTTCATTCAATTTTAGAGGCTGTCGATCCGCTGCCTTCAGGTGGCTGCCGATAATTAACTGATTTTATACAGTCTAAAAGCAGCTGAGGTTACCAGAGATTGGTAATAGTCTCATTAAAGGGTCAATGAAGCAAATGCTATTGATATTTAGTACAGCCTGACGATGCCGAATTTTCGAGGCAATTACTGATATTTAAGAGTTCATAACATCAGATACCAAGATATCGATCGATAGTCTTTTTTTTCATAAAGAGACAACACAAACAAACATGTGTCCACAATATTTACTAACTGTGGCACTTGAGAAATAGTTAGAAATGTCTCTGATGGACAAACTATGTAAGGAAGACACTGGTGCTAAGTTGCTGCAATCATATCTTTGGCATTTCTGTACTGTGATTACGTATCAATCGACAAGTATACAGTATATAAGCTAATATTTTGCGATATATTAGCCCGGAAGATTTATCGGTGTAGCTCTAATATCTAGCCGCGCAGATAGTTTGGGCTTTATTTGCTCAAAGATTTCTGCCTCTACCTCGATATAATGGAGGTGAATGGAAATATGTTGATAGTGCTAAAAAATATGCTCTCACACATGCATGTCGTTTTTACTTGTGGACTGCGGATCAGTTTCATTTAACATGCTCTATTTAACACTATCAAATGTCCAAGAACAGCAGGAAAAACAGTTAAGACATCTTCCTTAAAATAAACATTTCCTGGACTTAATCTCATATTAGACCAGCAGTTAGTTCAAATTGTTGACTATTGCCCCTGAAAATCACTTTCGGAAATGCAGCAATGACCTTTTCAAAAAGGCTCAAAGCAAATGTTCTGGTGCATAAGAAGGTCAAATGGAGATCCTTAGAGATTAGAGGTGGAGGATGGGAGGGTGTTTGGCAGCATGGCTTGTTTACAGGAAGTTGTTGTATGAAGAAGCCAGCCAACCAGTAGTGGAGTTGAGTCGTATAGAGACAGATGAGGAGAGAGAGGGAGCATTCCTGCTGTCAGCTATTTCCTGTAACTGTGGATTGTGCTAAGAGGACGGGGCATGCATCATTATTTTCATCAAAGAATTATGTTGTCCTGTCCTGCTTACTACTCTCCATGAAAAACACTACACCCAAAGTGTATTTTGACAGAAAACAAAATAGGACATGAACACTAGGACCCCTCTATATTCTGTGATGCAGACAGTACTTCCGTAATTAAACGTAAATGTGTACAGACATACATTAACCAGTGTGTCAAGTGACTCAAGTTTTCAAATAGTTTCTATTAATCAAAGAGCTTTTGACACATTTGGGAGAAAGAATACTGATTGCATTGCGGATTGTCCTGTGAAAACAGACTCTCTGGATTGCCAAATGGAAAAAATGGCTAAATGATGTATCCATGATTGCATAATAAAACAAAACAAATCATTTTGGAAAGGAAATTGAGACCGAAATAACTTAGAACTTGAGAAATACAATATTTCATATTACTCTAAATTAAACCAAATGAAAAGAATCTGCTTACATAAAGTTCAGACACACTGGCAGTTGTGTAAAATATTATTTCTGATTACAACCTGCTGGAAAAATGTTGGATGTTTTGGAAGTGAAATTCAATATTCTCTCTTTGATTGAAAACATGAAGCTTCAATTTGTAAAACCTTAAAGGAACATGCAAAGAGTAGAGGAAAAACTGCAATCAGCTGCCAGGAGCTAAAGAAACTAAATTATTTTAAATTGTGTCAGCTCCACACACTTTAGTTATATTAAGCAATGTTTATTTGTAAGAATTCATCCTTGTATTTTTTGGGGGGGGGGACTGAGAAAGCTACAATCACAGAAATGGCTCACAGAGGCCCAAGACGGACTTTGCAGTGTAAACACCAAGGCGTTAGCCAACTGACTTCCTGAGGTCTGATACCATCTCCCTACACAAAATCACAGGCTGTAAACAACCACTTCTAAGAAAGCTCTAGAGTACCTTTTAAGTGCATTCAACCAGATTCAAGACAAATTTTCACTTGAGAAGCCAGAGCCAACGGTCAATAGTGAGAAGTCAACCGCTTCATGCCGACTCCTCCAATCCCGTGAGTGTCTTAATGACAACCTTGACATTAAATGGTGGCAAAATGTTTGTGACCAACTGATGATTTTGATTCCAAATATAAATTCGGTCTCCACCAACTCCTGAGGGAAATATCTGGCTCTTTTGCTGCTGAATGCTCAACTATGTTCACCAGCTTGTCACTAACTGTGTCTGTCTGCTGTTTTGTGCAGGTATAGTGCACAATGAGTTTTTAGTGCTTTTCTTGCTGAAAAAAAGCTAGATGCCACAGCTGGAGACAACACTGATGAGAACGGTGGGACTGAAACAAAACAATAAAGTTGTGGTCCGTAAAAACCTAAACAATAATCTGAAAGACACCAAAACTCTCCATAGATCTGAGGGGAATTGAAATGATAATGGATAATTCTCGGTGACTACATCACAATGAGCAACGCCGTTTACATTACACCACTGTTAATATAAAAATCTTCATTGGAGCAGATTTAGGGGAGAAGTTACAAGTTATTTCTTTCCCTTTATCCTCATGTAGCAGTCACTGCCATTACTTCAAACTCAAACCAGAGAGATGAGACATCCATGAGTTTGTCTGTCTTTGGCTATGACATAACAAATCCCAAAAGGCTAACTTCCTCTAAGACATTCAATGCCATCATCTGAATGACCTAATGGCTGGATTTTTCCTGGTTTTCTCATGTTCATATACCAGAAGTACTAATTCATTACATGAGAGGCATACCTATGACGCATATCTTTCTCAGCAACAAGAGCATATTCATGAAATGAATGGGTCTCCATTAGACTATCTGGGCTGGAATGAAAGAGCCCTTTGTGTTTAATACGTCCTTGAGAGGGAGTTGTGGTTAAAAAGTAAGTCTCTTATCAGCTGTGTGTGTGTGTGTGTGTGTGTGTGTGTGTGTGTGTGTGTGTGTGTGTGTGTGTGTGTGTGTGTTAAAGAGACAGATTAGATTAGCAGGTAAAATATCTTTCAAAAGAGATTCTGCACGTCATTGGCCCTGTCAAATATGACAGATCATCTGATACACTTTTCTCTTAACTAAAAGCAGGAATGTACTAATATTTTCCCCATCCATCAGACCTGCGGCTGCATTCGAAATATTAAAGAATGTTTTCAGAGGGTGAAAGAAAGCAGAGGAGAGGGGCAGAAACACCTGGACCTGATGCCAAGAGCTTGTTTTTCATTCAACAAAGACTACACTCAAATATGTGCTCTCTCAGCACCTGGCACTTGATGTTCAGACTATGAGAGCACAGCACAATTTTGTGACGTGATAACTTTCACTAACCTCTGACTGGGTTCAGTTTGAGACCTTTGTTTATCCTGAAATATGCAGTAGCAGACACAAGTCTAATATTGTCTTCTTCTGCCTCTCTGCTTTTCTGGCTGACCTGGTCCTCGTTTTCTGCTGATCAGCAACCTGACTTCAAGGTTTTTAAAAACCCACGACCGAGCATACAGTCAGCCAAGAAGCAACGGAGAAAAGAAGAGCGAAAATTGCTATAAATTTTCAACTCTTTCCAGACGTCACAACTCACTGGCAGGCTTGAGCCCACACAATGATACATGCCATTGTTTCAATATCTGCAGAAAGACCAGTTTTGTCCACTACAGACAAAAAGAGACTCGAGCTGGTATGTCGAACAAAGCATTGCGGGAGTTCTGGTCGAAAGGAAAGAAGCTTTCGATACTCAATAATTCAGTCTGCATGAAAGCATTCACGAGACACTATGAGCTGTACATGACAAATGTACACATAAACAAACAGCATTGTACTGCAGGACAAACACAATGGAAAGGCAGAACCTCTCAGCTGAAACTAAAAGATTGATGTATCACACTCTGGATGTATATTCTTTACAGAACCAGCTGACTCTGGATAGCAGTGTAAGGCTCTGGCAGCCTCAATATGTCTCTATGTAAAAGAAAACCACCAAGGTTGGTGCACATAGCTGTACCTATATAATTACCCCCATACTCTACCACATAGCTCGCCATGCTGCCACTGTATAGCTCAATTGACCAGGTGGAACCAATTCTTGGAATCTTTTTTTATCTTGTTTTTAAGCCACTTCAGCTTCT